TAGGTAAATGGTACACAAGCCGCGCGGACATTCAACACCACGGTGGGCAGGTTCCGGGAGACACGGGATTCATTATGGTGGTTGCAGCCACTAACGAGTGCAGCTTCTTGGGGCTGAATCCCGCCGCGTGAATGGAGCTGAATACCTACCTACACTGAACAAATAAATAGGTAAATGGTGGTGATTGCTAGCAGCCCGACATCGATGGTGAGGTCGGATGGACAGGTTCCCCCAGTCCGACTGATCTGATGCACCCGGCCCTGCGACCGAGACATCATCCTTCCAATTCCAGTCCGAACAGCTTGTGACTGAAATGTTAACGGTGGTGGGTGGTGGTGCACTTGCAATTTAGCTGCGGTCGTCGGCCGCTTCCTTCCCTTGCCCACAGCCCGCCCGGGCTTCCACTCTGTCATTTGTTTGGACAAGGGGTCGACGGTCAAGAACCCGGCTTCCAATCTCGGGCACGCTCCACTTAATCATTCCGAACCATGACGTTGCTTCTTCCTTTTGGAGAAGATCTGGAGAGAGCAAATGCAAAAGAAGGATTGGAATCATGGAGCTGCAAGTTTTGTATCAAGACAGCTTCTTCACACGCGCAAGTCGACAAAAACATGGCACAGCTCTCAGTGTCAGCCCGGCCAGCCCAGTCAGCTCATCAGCGCTTCAGTCCTCTCCCTTCTCCGTCGGAGGTCGGTTACATTTACCGGTCGCGTGGAAGTACAAAACGCACACACACACACACACACACCGGACGCAACGGGATTTCAGGGGGCCTGGCGATCGAGAGGTCCAAAGTAAAAGTGCCCTGGATTACACAACGAACTTGTGTGGCTTGTCATTGCATTCTTGTGAAATTGCCATGTGTTTAACGCCTTTACGGTACCTCGTCGTCGCCAAATGATGACTGAGATCTTCGCCTTGTTGCTTTCGACGAAACAGCCACAGCCTGATGATGATGCAAGCTAGGACACGGCGCCAGGCAGGGCAGGATGCCGGCTGTGAGCCTGTGACTGACGCCCCGGGCAATCTGCCTACTATTAGAGACTTGCCCGAGCCTGGAAGCTGGATGGATGGATGGATGGATGGAATGACACGACTGGAATCTCGATCAAGGTACCTCTAGTGTACATACTGTAAAGAGAGAAGAACCCACCCCGGCCCCTTTTCTCTTGGCTTCCGGCGTTGCATTCGGGAGGACTGGTCAGACACGCGCACTGATCCCGCCGTCCGTCCCCCTTCCCTTCCACTCCCTCCAATCCCTAATGCCCCCTTCTTCCCCTCACTCACGCCGGCTCGTCCGTTCTCACGGTGGTGCTTAATTTCCAGTCCAATTTTAGGACATTTGCGTGTTTGGTGCCCAACCGGAGCTGGCGCGACTCCTGTTTCGTTCCGATACTGCTGTCACCGTTCTCCGCCTGTCCGTCTCTTTACTCCTCTGGCTTCTCTCCAATCGAGACACCTTTTGTTTCCCCAGAAAGCGCATCGCATCAAGTTGCAAGCCCCTTTGCGGTCTCAACCATGGCTGAACCAGGCAACGGCTCGTGTTGAAGCTATGGCTGCGCCTTCGCCGCCCCGGTGCTTTTTTCTTTCTTTCCACCACCCAAGAAGAAGGCGGATTATACTACATGGTCGCATACTACCTCTACGGTGTGTTCTTTGCGCTCTGTTAAGGACGCTGAGTGGTCGCCTTCTCCATACCTACCTCTCCAAGCAATCAATTCGGGGCCCCGTGGCCCCCCTTTTTCTTCTGTCATCCAACAAGTCGGCACGAGCTGGACTCGCCCATCTTCCTTGGAGAACAACACGGAACATGGACCTGCAGGGAACAGGGAGTGTGGGCCCTACCAACACGGGACGGGACCTGCGTTTGGAACCTCCGAAACTTGACACTCCCCGCCCAGTGAGGTGAGCGAGCGAACGAACGGGGAGCGGGACAGGACATTTGATGAGTGTGAGATTCCAATCGGAGGCAGCCGAGCACGTCGACCCGTGACCCGTGACCCGTCGTGTTCTCCACTTCTTGTCCGCGCGACAAGAGTTCAGTTGCCAAGACTGCCATCCGCCTACTAACCTCAGTTTTGCCAGCCGGCTGCCACTGGTAGATAACTCGGGCGCAGTCCGTATGGTCCCACATTTCCCCGGATCAAGGAGGCCCAAGCTCCAAACCAAGCTCGGAGACTCCCAAATCCCAATTTCGAGCGAGCCCCGTGTCGCATCCAGCTCACTGCATCTCTCATCAATCATCCGTCATTGTCATTCAGCCCCAGCTCTCCCCGTCCGGCGTGACGCCCGCCAAGTTTGTGTTTCAGTGTTGTGTGGTGTCGACTGATGCGGGTATCCTGCGACATGACATCTTCCGTCATTATCGTGATCCCCAAATGTAAAAGAAGGGCAATTCCGGGTTCGAAGATCGGAAGGCGTCGGTCGGTGACATAGTCGGTGACAGCCAGAGCTTTGGTCAGTCCCCCGTCGGGCTCGGACCTTTTCCCCTACAAAAAGAGTGGCTCCATTCGGACCCGCCCCGCCCACGGTGAGCGGGCTCGCGGGCCACGTACAAATTCCAACAACGAACATGGAACACGAGAAAAATCATCATTTTCACGACGGTGCGTATCGTTCGAAACACATCATCGTTTCTTGTGGGACCTCTCAGCCCGAACGTTGCATGGCGTCAAAAAAAAGTGATGCTGGCTAGAACAATTTCGGGATGTTCGAGGTGTCCATTCCATTCCATATTGCCCTTCTCCGTGCCGCTCGCCCGCATACTGAAGCTTCCGTCACCGGCGTATTTTCTATTATACTCCGCAATTCATGTTGGAGATGCGCACGGGCGCGGGGCGGTCATGTCCGAGATTCCCATCGATCTTCCTCCCGGAAAAGACACAACGGAAACACGCCAAGCATGGCTATAGTAGGTATGATGCGCAGAAGCTCTTCAGGCTAAATGACAACGAACCGACCTTTTCCATCATCCATCTCATGATTTCATCAGCCCGATACAAAGTCCATGTAACGAGGCGGCATGCGAACCGCCGCCGGTGTTTGAGACATCCGTTGGTGTGTTCCACCAAAGTAGGCATCGGGCCATCTCAGGGGCTATCGGACTCTCCCTCCCTCCCTCCTTACGTAGGTCCTGACATTGGATTTTCCGACTTTGAACTTCTTCCCCCGTCTTCGTTGTCGCTCCGCCCCGCCGTAAGCCGGATATCTCGGGTCCAATTGAAATTGGACGGAGCGTCCGACCGACGGGGACCGCCTTGGAAAATCCCCACTTTTCTGCATTCGTCCGGCGCCGTCATCATGAACCCACTGTCGCGTTTCTTGGCACGCTCAGTCTGAGTCTGCCGATTGCGGTCCGGTCATCATCTTCTCGGCGTGGAAAACGTGTGTTCGGGCCCGATACTGTCATTGACGGACGCCGACGGCGAAGTGGAAACCGTCAATCGACCCGGACGTGCCAGTGCTCACAAAAAGACTAGCCGAAACACCCAATCGACCATTGGTCCATGTCATAGTACACACACGGGCATTGCGACCAGTTCCCGTACTGCACTCGTCACCCGTCACTGTTGGACGAGGAGTCGTCCATGCGCTACTTTTAGAGTACCTACCTAGCTGGACTATAAAGTACCAGCACGATGCACTCCGTGCTGCCGTTCCGTCGACGTGTCCTTTCTGATGGCGTCAGGCCGACGAGCTCCGTAAATGTACAGCAACGTCGGTGTATGTGATGTGCGCAGAGAGAGTCTCACCCAGTGATCAGACCTAAACGACTCGAACGATCAACCGTATTATCGGCCAGTCCGCCTGAATTTCACCTACTTATCTGATATTTGCTACTGCCGACCCGGGAGCCGCCACCCACTACTATGTGAATGCCGTTCCGGATGGGTTCGTTGTGATTTCAAGAGTTTCAATGACGGCCGATGTCTACCTACCCCTTGTTGTAAGGTCCTGTCACTGCGTTTGTTCCTTCCCAGTGGAAAATGCGTGCTGAGAGATTGCGATGACGGATCTCGCTCCCGATGAGTAGGTAGACAAACTCACTTGCCAAAGGAAGGAGCCTTCCTCATTGCTATCCTGCCCAGTACTTCTGTTCTTAGATAATCTTGTTTTCCTCCGATAGGCGCAGGATGCCGGTTGCTCATTCCGTCATGGCTGGAAGAGAAACCTCAAGGGAAGGAAACCTGTCAGATAGCCTGGGGCACTCAGTCTTTTCTCTCCCCTCCACTTCGAGACCACAAACTTCGACACCAAATGGCAGCGGTGGCCAACTGACGCCTGTTCCCCAGGACATCTCTATCAAATGTATCCTTGTTGCCCGGCTCTCTCACAAGCTTTTCTACCTAGCCTTGGATCCTAGAATATTGTCCTTTCTTCTCCTCCCCGCCAGTTCCCCGATGTCTTCTTTTCTCTCTTTTTCCGGGCAAAGTCAACTCTGACTTTTGCACATCTTCCCGTCCACGCCTGGAACGACACAGCGAGATACAGCTAGCTGTCCTACGACGTCTGTCGCCGTGATACCTGAGGATAAGACCTTGCTAGGAGGCCGAGAACTCAATTTCAACCTCAACCTTCTGCTATACAGTTACTTGGTCAGCGCCCAGTCGTTTCGCTTCCGCGAGGCGTCGAGGGCAGAGCAACTTATCTACTGGCTGGCCTAGGAGTAGCAGCGACATGGAAACAACCATTACTTCACCCCAGATCAAACTATCCCACGCAAGCCAGCCACCCAATTGCCGCCACGCGTGCAACTCATTAATGATCTCCATGTCGCTCGCCCGCTTTTCGCAATATACTTTGAATTCGAAGCGTACTCCTTCTCTGGTTTTGGAAAGAAGTTCCACTTGAGCACGAAGTTACAACAGCACAGCTCCACGATGAACGTTCCGCCGGCGTTCAATCAACTATCGTTCCCGTTCCAGTTTCCGAGCCGTCGTGGTCGCGTCGCCAAACCCTGGAATTGAGTTCCAAAGGCCTATCTTCCAGTCTTAAAGGCCATGAAGGAGACGACGAAAGGCATTAGAGGGTAGCCATCAGAGTCTTCTGTGGCGTCACGAAACCTTACCATCATCCCATATCGCTTTGAACGGAGACCAATTCTCTTTTCAAATGGTAGTACCTTGGCGGAAGAAAGGAAGAGGACCGAGAGCACATTTGTGTGGGGGAACGTGTTTCGCCTCTCCGATGCGAAAGCGGTTTTTCCTCGCGGCCGTTATTAGTCTCTTTACCCGGTGGAGTGGTAATGCCCTCCTCAGCTTCTACACTGGCAAGATCTTGGCGACTGTCGGCATCACTAACCCCCACACGGTGCAAATGATCATTTTCGGCTGGACCTGCTGGGGCCTCGTGGCCGGGACGAGCGTGGCCACCCTCATCAGCCCAAGGTGTCCTCGCAGGACCATATTCCTGATGGGCACCATTGGGACGGAATTGGTATATATAGTATAGACCGTTGCCAGCTCAAAGGTAGAGATAGGGTCTCCCAAAGCCGTCATCCCGGTATTGGTGTTTATGTTCCTCTATACGCCGTAAGTTCCAATGTTTTCCCACAGCATCATCCATTCGCTTCTTGCTCTGGTTCGCCTTGGTCTCCCTGTCAGAAGTTAACCCTTGTGTTGTGTACAGATTCTACGTTTTAGGCTGGGGCTCTCTCACCTACACCTACCTCTCCGAACTCTTCCCCTACTACCAACGCTCCCAAGGCATTGCAGTAGAGCAATTCACCGTACGCATTGCCTCTTTCATCGGTTCTTACGTAAACCCCATTGCCCTCTTCAATATCGGGTGGAAGTATTACATAGTATACTATGTCTGGATTGCTATCGAAGCACTTACAGTATACTTTTTCTTTCCCGAGACTAAAGACCGCACCCTCGAGGAGCTGGCGTTTATGTGGGAGGGTGATTTTGGAACAAGGTTAGGGAGAGGATGGACGAGGTAATGGGTTATCAACCGCATGAACTAGGCCCAATTCCGGAGGAGGAGGAGAATCGGGAACCTGTGGTAAACGAGAGGGTGGTGAATACTGTCACTCCTTAGATCCTAAAAATGCACATGGTTATCCAGCATCGTTTTTAGCATAGCTACCTACTATGACCCCTATCACTACTGAACATTCCTTTACCTACCTCTACCTAATATCAAAACTTGACCGCCCCGCACCGTACTTCCTCCTCAATAGTAGGTATAATGAAATAAGTTCTTCGCCTTCGCCTTCGTCCTAAGTTCCTGGCAGAGTGAGTCCATTCTCTACATTCTCCTCCTCCTCCATCTCAAACAAAACTGTTTTAACCTTTGACATTTCGCTATATACTTACTCTTACTATACCTTCGCGCGTTGACATTACTCCTTCAAACTTGAGTTTTATCCAATTCCTACATAGCGATATTCCAAGCGGCCTAACTCCAGCTGATAATGTCTTTTTAATTTTCCTCTCAAGTGAGCCGTGCAAAGACCTCCCTGTTCGTTTTACCTACCGTTTTTCTTTTCACGCACCTGCAGGACGTGGTGGCAACCGTCTTTCCTTCCGTCCTCGGACATAACTCTCAGCCAACCCTCGCCTTTTTTTTTTTTCCTCTTCCTCTTCGCTAACCTTCCCTTGCACCTAGACCGACCACCAAGGCGACATTCTTCACGACTTGCGAGATGGCAACTCTCGCAAGATCAGGTTCCTTGGCAATGCCGGAAATCGCCCACCCTACGTCGGCCACCCGAAGTGACAATCCGCCGTCGCCTATTCCCTTCCCCCCGTCCGTCGCCGCCTAAGCGTTTAGCGGGCCGCTAACAATTCCTCGATCAGCGCCGGCGCCGTCAATTCGTACAGCCACTCCCGGATTGTTCTTCAGGCAGGAGTATTCTGACGACGAGACATTGAGCTGTACAACGCAGTACTCGGTGAAGATCTCCTCCCGCCTGAGGACTGGCCTGCGACCAACCAGCCAGACAGAATGACTTGGCACGAATGTGCGTTACCTAGGCATGGCAAAATCTGTGGCACACAGCCAATGTCGAGGGTTGTTGGCTGGATGGGAATCAGCGTGTGCGCTGGCTTAGGTAACCTGGCTAGGTACTAAGAGCACACGGGGATCAGATCTACATCCCTCCAGTCCCTCCTTCTGCCCAAATCGTGGTTGGTGACGAAGCGGAATCCGTCTAGTCCCTCGTTGGCGTTGGCAAGGAAGGCAGAGGAAGCTTTCCTGTCAATGACAAGATGGTGGTCTGGTGTCTGCCGATATACCACGAAGGACAGAGACACTTCTCCCTTGCAGTTTTTGACCAGCTGGAGTCCAGTCCTTAATAATGGTATCACTAAAACGCCCGCCTAAAGGAGATATGGTGTATTATTCTTGACTAGGTACCTACCTATGATTGGATTACGGCCTTTTGTTAGATGTATAGAGGTAGGTACCTAGGTAACTGGGTACTGCTCGCATGTGTAGGTACCCCTAGGGAGGATATTTATAAGTATGACTGGATCGTCTCGTCACTCGAACGGACCAGACTTAGACTTCGGTTGTGTCTAACTGGCCTGGTAGGTACCTAGGTACCTAGGTAGTGATAGTAATGACGAAACTATGGTAGGCTGTGGAATACCTACCTACCTACCTACCTACCTACCTACCTAGTCTTTTGTTGTCGTTGTCCGAAGCGGTTTGGTACCTTACTATCTAGAGGTAATGGTCGGATTTGTGTAAAGAAAGTTTTTTTTTTTTTTTTCTTTTTTTTTTTTTTTTTTTTTTTTTTTTTGGTAGTTGAATGTGATAGGTAAGGTACCTACATAGGTAAGTAGCGTTGAACGCACGGGGCCGGGCCGATGATCGAATTGGCGTGTTGGTAGGTAGTTTTCCACTACGTAGAGACTTATGTACATTAATGCCAAAAGAAAGAAAGGAAAAAAAAGAGAAGAAAAAATAGAACAAGAAGAAGAAAGAAAACGCGGTATGGTTATAACCTCCTATTATTGGTTAGGTACCTACTATTATTGGAGTCTACCTACTATACCTAATCGTAGTAGACTTGATAATGGACTTGATTGTGTGAAAGTTATTGATTAGTTCGTGTTTTGGGCTTCATTCTAGTAGCTACCTACCTAATATAAGTTGAGTCCAGCTTTTAAACCTACCTAGGTAAGTAGACTTGGTGGTGTATGTCGGGTGCAAGTTCCTGCCCGAATTTGCCCATTTCTGACTTGACTATTTCCACCCTTCACAATGTACCTACCTACTTGGATCTTTAAAATAGATAACGGGGAAATTGACTATGGCAGGAATGATTGCTGTAACGTGATGGTTGGAGTGTTGGCTAGCTTGGCTCGGTCTCGTTTCTTGGCAGGCAGATGTTCTATAGACTTTAACGAGCGGTATGTATCAGACTGGTCTACCCGACCAGTTACCTACCACCTAGTTGATCGCCTGCTAAGTAAAGGTGTTGATAAGTTTCCATATTGTGGACGAGACGGTTGATTTCTACCTAGGTAGAGACTATCAAGTGAGATGAGAGCCAAAACTAGAAGTGATCTATTCCTAGATGGCTGAACAAATATCCGAAAAGACTGACGTTGAAAAATGTTTTCTTTTTTTGTACTTGCCATATTAAGCCGTCTCTTTACTCTCTACCTATGTATCTCTCTGGGTTGCTGGCGCATCTATGCAGCAAGGTAAATGAAAAACTTACGAGGAAGATAATATGCTATATCGAGCGGCCAGTTAGCACATTATGTCTAGCTTCATTACTTTTTTGCAGCGGGCGAGTGTGTTGGAGAGGAGATTACCGTATAGTCATAAATTGTATCGTTGAGAACATAACTCGTGGCCCTTCAGGAGTATTCTTAGTAACCTAGGCAGCACCATAACCTAACACTTCCTTTTTGGATAACATGGATGATGGAACTGTAGGTATCCATCATCTCCGTACCAGCAGAGATGGAACATGGAGCCTCACTTCCCATCACTACTGCTACTGCTACTACTGCTGCTGCTTTGACCGCCATCACCATCTCCAGCAATCTGAGTGGCCTGACTGTCAACCACCTGACTCTCAACCTCCTGATTCTCGTTCTTCACAGCCTCCTTCCCCTTCCCCTCTCTCTCCTTCTGCATCATCCCCATCAATTCCCCCAACAACCCCTTGAGCTCCTTCACCTCCTCCCTCAACTTCCCAATTTCCATCTCTTCATTCTCCTCCTCCTCATCCACCTCTCCTTCTTGCATCTTGACCAACTGGCTCTTCGCATTCTCGACCCTCCTCGCCCATCCATCCGCCTCAAAATCAAGGTCTCCCATTCTCTGCTCCCACTCCTCAACCGAATCATCATCCCCGTCTCCACGGGCTCGGTTGGCCCTAATTTCTTGCGCGGTCTTGACTTCGATGAAGGCGCTGACCAGCAAGAGGGGGGAGTAGATAGTAGCCATGCACCAATCGTTGATCTTTTCATAAGTAGTCTTGTTCATCCACCACTCCAGTGGCAGAGCCAACAAAAAGATCTCGATGAGGTTAAACGGCGGGATGAACACGTTCTCGTCGGGTGCTCTCACGAATTGCATTGTCTTTTGCGCAAACATGCCGAGGTACTCGTCGTTGGCGTTGTCGTAGATGTCTTCGTAGGCCGAGTTGTAGAGGGCGATGAGGATGTTGAGCAGGATAACCATCACTACAAAAGTGAAGCAGTAGTACAAAAGTAGACCAAAGGGGTGGTTGAACTTTTCGAAGCCGCTGAAATCGGGCGACTGCATCAAGGCGTTGGCCATGGATTGCACAATGAACATGGTGTCTTCGACGACTTGGTCGTCTGCTTGGTCGAGACCGAGAAAGGCTTGGAGGAAACCGACGATGATGACCAGAAGTAAAGCGAAGAAGATGATGGATTCCTTCATCATGACTTTGAGGACGACCAGCATGGCGCCGAAGAAGCGGAAGGAGTCGAGATATAGCAAAATGCGCAGCCAGAACATGGGGGCGGAAACGGCGAGGAAGTTGTAGGATAGGATGTTGTAGTGTTGCCGCCAGTCGACGTCGGAGCTGTCGTGGGAGAAGGCGATGACGCGGAAGACTAGAGACGTGGTTAAAAGACCGTAGAGAATGCTGTTGAAGGCGGACCAAAAGCCGATGATGGCGGGCCCGGCTTTCCAAACCTTGGCGAACTCGTCGCACATGAAACCGAGGGTGAAGGCGTACAAAAGACCCTCAACCACATCAAGGTGGCCGCCGGGATTGACGCTATTCATGGCAAGAGTGTAGAGAACGAGATAGACGAAGCTGATGAGCATCTGCGTCCAGTTTTGGTACATGGGTGCGCGCATGCGATCCGGGTCCAAGTGCGACCAGAAGGAGGTGTTGTCCTTGTCGCGGTATTCGACAAAGGTTGACGGGTCGTTCTCATCTTGGACCAACCAGCCGCGCCAGAGGTAGTTGATACACTTTTGGTAGCCCGAAGAGCCGATCACCCTGAGGGCATGCAAGTCGACAGCCTTTTCGATCACGTTGGACGGCTTGGTAGGTTTGTTATCGATCATGATGGAGTAGCGCTTCAACAGGACCTCGTGAAGCAAGAAGTTGGTGTCCTCCTCCGTCTCGATGATTTGTTTGGCGATAACCTCGCAAGCTACGGCGCGGAGGGCGTGTAGGTCGGCATCCCAGAGTTCGACTTGAGCTTGATGTTTCCACCAGCGCTTGTTGACGAGCAAGCAGTAGACGACACATGATCGGTGCTCTTTACCGCCGGCTTCCTTGGCTGCCTTGAGCACCTTCTTCGTGATGATCTTACTAGTCGGAGAGGTGATTTTCTCAACGGGGAGCTCGATGGGAACGCATTTCTCGATGAGGTGACGGATGCGGAGGGCGATTTCGGTCACGGTTTCGGCGGGGATGGCGGAGACGTAAAAGTCGTCACGGTAGCTGGGAAGGACTGCGATTGTTAGCGTGGAGTTGCCTTCAGCAAGAGGAGAGGGGGATTCGTACGTTGTCGGCGATGTTCGTGCCACCAATGGTCGTGTCGATGGGGTGGACGGTCCAAGCCCAAGAGGCGCGAGAAGGCCCCGAATCTTGCCATGCTGCCCTGTGTCTGTGGAATCCGACGATAGGTACTGTGGTCGTCTGCGCGTGTTGCGTCGAGATCAAGGTTAATGTATGTCGCTGCGATGTAGAAGCAGAGGCGCGTGAAACAGGACGAGGAGGCACTCCAAAAGAGAGAAGGGCAAGAAAAGATGAAGATGGCTGTCGTCAAAACAAGGAAGCGACACAGCTGCAACCTTGTCGGAGCTTTCCCGTTCAACGAGTGGTCAGGGTCGCCAGAGCAAGCAAATAGCAGCGACGGTTAATTGGCTTTGGGATTCCATGGTCAAGGACGGCGAGAGGGGAAGGGAAACTTGAAGGGCACGACGAGCGAGGGGGGACCTAGGAGGGGAGGGGTTGGTGGAAGGGAAAGCATGGAAGCTGAAACCAGAAGCTTGTCCGAACAAGGAACAGAGTCTTGAAGATGACGTTGAGCTGCCAAGTTATTGGATTCCGCTTCCGATTAAACAAATTTCTGTCTTGAAGAAGTGTGTTTCTGTTAGTGCACGTCCTCCAATACCCAGCACTCCATCCCGCGCTTCGGGACGAGCCATGCAGCACGTTAGCGGCGGAGTCACAGCGCCAAGTAGTGTAGGAGATAAGGCCTGTAGAGGTCTAGAACACCGCTGGAGCTCGCACATGCATAGCGTCACATTCAGCACATCAGAGTATTGGGCTTGGCATTCAGACGACGTCCTCTTCTTCTTGCTTCATTTCCATCAACCAAAAACTTGGGTCTACTCAATGGCCATACTAATACCAAACACGATTCAATCTATCCAATGATTTCTTCTGTACTAACCATACTCCAACATCACCCTGACCTCGTACTCCATAACGCCCCAATATCCCCGTCCCCCTCGCTCCCGACCCCGACTTGCTCTTGATGCCCATAACAAAGCCATTATTTCGCTAATCTTCCAACAACACACTGAGCCTAGTACAACCACCATCAAACCCTCCTCCTCTTATCTCTCTTCCCATACGTCTTCGTATTCCCGCTCCCTTTTGGTTTTCCCCTCTTGGCTCTACCTAGTGTCTTCTTCGTCTTCTCCTTTCCTTCAGACTCCCGATCCTCTTCTGTTTTCTTTCTCCTCTTGTTGCTTCTTGACGCTTCTTCACCCTGTATGTCCTGCTCCTGCTCCTGCTCCTCCTTGTCCCTATTGTCTTGATTGTCCTGCACCTCTACGCCATTCCGAGCTTGACTGCGACGACGGCCCTGACTTCGTGTCACCATACCTATACTCTCGCCGACCTTACTTGACTCCCCGACCTCATCAACAGTATCAACTCTACCGCGACGACGGCTCTGACTCCGCGTCACCATACCATTGGCCTCTTCGAGATCCATGTTGCTTGCGGGTTTTACTGGCGCTGAACGTGGCTGGGATGCATCAGATCGACCAAACAGCCTTCTAGCGACGGGTTTTGGGTTTGACGTAGTGGAAACCCCCATGGATGGCATGGTCCGAGATGGACCGGGTTGAGCTGATGTATGACCGTGGGCACTGCTTTCCCCGCCACGAACTGCCTGACTAGAACCAAGCGCCGAAGAAGGGCTACTATTAAGCACCGTGTCTAAAAAGTCGGATCTCAGGTGTTGATGATGTTGCTGCGCGCGAGGACTAGCATACTGGGACCGAGGTCCAGCTTCTTGGGCTACTTGTCGGCTTGTTTGGTAGGCGGGCCTGTTGGTGGTGGTGGTGATGGCAGACATGACTGGAAAGCTGCTTAGGGGAGGGAGGGCTGAGACCTGAGCCCGAGCCCAAGCCTGCAGAGGGGGAAGTATTTCGTTACGAAGGTCCTCCGGGAGTACTCCAAGGAACTCTTGCAAGACCTCGGCGTTTCCGCTGCTTTCGCCGCCATGCCTTTGGAAAACCTGTTCACGCTCACGCCCACGCACCTGTGGCTGGGGTTGGGATCTCTGGGTGCCGGTATCCTTAGCCTTAGCCTTAGCCTGGGTATCGGCGATTACTTCGTTTCTGAGCTCTTCGGGGAGGGCTTCGCGATACTCGGTGTCGAAGCCTAGCTCAGCTGGCGGCGGAGGCTGGTGCGCGGGCCGTTGCATTCGTTGGACTTGGGAGCCTTGCGGCTGCGGCTGGGGAAGTTCGGGGTTGGGCACCTCGGTCTCGTTCGAATCGTCCATGATATCATCTGGCTGGTCCCGATCGCTGAGAGAGACCGTGCCCTCTTCTGCTTCATGGAGGTTGTTTGGGTCATCCAGGGCAGTCCCCTCTCCGGGCGAAACAGAGAGTGTAGGTGATCCCTCCCCAGATTGGTGTCCACCTTCGATGCTAGGCAGTATCGACGCATTATGCGGCTTGTGACTTGCAGACTGTATGTCGTTCCCGTCGCCATCGGCTGCTTCATTTGAGGAAACTGACTCAGCTTCGTCGTCGGCATCGTTATGATCGACCTCGCTATTGTGGTCATCATCGCCAACATCGTGTTCATCGCTATCATCGACCGCCTCGTCGTTTAAATTCGGGTCATAATCGTCGGAACTGAGATCATACGGATCCGAAGCATCGACTCGCACATCAGAGGCAGGCGTAGAACTTTGCTCGGATTCATCATCCCTTGATCCTATGAGCTCCCGGCAATGTTGCGGGCAGAACTTGACCACGCAATCGCTATGTAAATTGGACTGTCAGTCACTATACCTACCCACCCAGATGTCTTATCAGGTGTGGTGCTGCTGCTGAAGGAGGAACTCACCATCCCTTGCGCTGCCAAGTAAAGTAACCCTGTGACCAGTCGATGGGTATACCCCGGAGAAACGGTGGGAGTGCTCTGTGGGTATGGCCTGGTATCTCTGGCTCCTCCGAGGGGTTGTCGGTGTCGGTGTTGGATTCATAAATAGTGGCGTATCTCAACAGTACCGATGAGGGGATTGGAGATAAAAGTGGTGGGATTTTGAGGTTGGGCATTACGGTGTTGCTTTGTTGATGGCCATGGAATTGCTGCTCAGCGATACTCGGATTTTTGTTGATTGCGCATTTGACTATCGAATTCAATCATCATATTTCGGTCGAGTCCTGGATACCTGGATGGAGAATGGAGGAAGGCGCCATGGTTGTGAAAGGTGTGGGTTCCATCATCTTCCGTTGTTCTGTCATGAGCGACTGAGGATCTTGCCAAAAAGTTCTCGGGCGGATGAGGAAAGATAAGTGGAAAAGAAGTGACGGTCGTGGAGACCAAGTATGATCCTCAAGCCGGCGTAAGCATAGAATGAGATAGTGTGTTATCTCAATTGCTGCTATGATATGCGGTAAACTGCTAATGCATTAGTGTAGGGGATATTTGATCACGTTCGGTTTGTCGTAGTGATCTTGGCCAAGCAGGACAACCTTTGTCTCGAAACCAGTCCTAGAAAGATAGTTCGAACGTTTCTTCCGCCACATGCAAGGCTAGATATCCTTCAGCTTCCCCTGCAAATAACCCCAAAGACTCTCAAACAAGCCTTGATCATGTCCCTCCCTCCAAAGTAGCAGCACCTTCATCTCCCCATCTTTTCCAACCTCGATCACCACCTCAAATCCCAATTTACACTCCTCTTCTTCTCTTGTCCCATTTCCATCACCGTCCTCCTCCTTTTTCTTCCCCTCCTCTACCGCCTTCATCTCCCTCTCCCTCTTCCTCCTCCAAGCCCGACTCCAAACATTCGCCCTCGCCCTCCCCACCCCTCTCATCCTCTCCCCACTCCACTCCCAACTCATCAACTCCAACCCTTCCACCGTCTGCTTAACCCTCTCCACCACCTTTCCGACCTGCTCCCTACTGTCCTTCCACATTCCAACCTCCATACTCACCACCGGCGGCAACAGTTTCTTCCACACCCCACTTACCCCCCTTCCTTCTGCCTCTCCAGCTCTCATCCCCGCAAAACTCCATCCCACCACCCACCGCTTCGTCTGTTTACCCTGCACCAGCTCCGTCACCGCATAATTTTGTATCTTTTCCTTTCTTAGCCTCTCCACTACTGTTTCCAGGGAAGTTACCTTTCCGACCATGCTCGTGTACCACGTCACTTTTTCGCGGAGGACAAGCGACTCGTCGATCATTTTGAAAATATGCGCCACTTCCCCTCCTGCACAGACCATCTCGACGGGGGCGCCAGTGCATGCTGTTAGTGGTGGTCGACTCTTTTTGGCGGCGGAGGAGAGGAGGTCCGACGGGGAGGAGTAGAAGGGGGGGTTGCACATTGTGAAGTCTATTCTGTCGATTCCCCGTGTGGTGAGAATGGGGGAGTCGAAAGGGATCAGCGATTGGTCCGGGGTGCGATGCAAGAGGGTGATGCGGTCTTGTAAGTTGTTGAGGTGGATGTTGCGCTTGGCAAAAGAGAGGGAGTGGGCGTCGATGTCGGTTGCGATGAAGGACCAGGAGGGGTGTTGGACGCAGCCGAGGAGGGGGTAGATGGCTGAGGCGCCGGTGCCGATGTCGAGGCCGATGATGGAGCGGGAGGAATTGTTCTGATCAGGTAAGGAACTGAAATGGGGGTGGTAAGAAGAGGAGGACAGGAGGGAGGTGAGCCAGAGGATGTAGTTGTGTCGGTTGGGAACGGGGGGGCAGAGACGGTCGGAGGGAAGGTCAATTATCAGGCCGTAGTCGATTTTGAGAAGGGTTTTGGTTAGTTGCATTACTGCTGATGGGTCGTTGAAGTCGAGTTGGTTCTTGGAGTCGAGACTTTTGAGAGTGTGTTAGTGATGTGATCATGACGACGACGACGACAAGGTCAAAAACAGCTTACAAAGGAGCAAAGTCGGGATCCTTCTGACCAAGGTGTTTGAAACTGGGGTCTTTGGTGTAAAGCTTGCGAAAGTACTCGTCGGTCCATTTGCGTGGTTTGCCCCCCGTTGCTACTACGGCCTGTCCGGGTCCGGGTTCGGAAGGCGGGGCGCTCCGGGTGTTGTGGGGCCGATCGGACTCGGGGGTCGGCTTGGTGGCTTCTTGCGCCGGCTGCCCTTGGATATCTTCATTGTTTGTTTGTTTCTGTCGTTTGGCTTCGGGTTCGCGGACTGGACTGGCTAATCCTCCTTCTCCTGCCAAGTTGTGCTCATCGCCCGCTTCAACCACCGCTTTCCTCTTGTTGGTTTCCATGTTTGCTGCGCATGTTGAAAAGTTGATGAAAGGGTGAAGTTGAAGTTAGGTCAGCGGCGACGTCAACACGGGCTGCAAACAGTGACACCGGGTGCTGTAGCACACTGCAGCGCTGTGGCCGAGCGGTTATGGTGCTGGTAATGCCATGCACAGACCACCTCCTTGTTGCCTGCCGTGGACTGATTGACGTCGCAATCGGTGCTCAATTGCTGCTTCGAATTGTCACCAAAACAACAATCAATCTGTTCATCGTCAGTTTTCAAACCACTACGTCCGCTGTCCCTTTTGGCTATCCCGTTTCCCGACTCTGTACAGCTATCTTACTTCCGTTCCGACCGATACTACCTCCGATGCCCCAATCACCATCAAACTAAATTGAACCCAATCACTCCCCCATAGAAATATGTCCGACCAACAACAACAATCACAACCGGGCAGCGGTACCTCGACCCCGAACCCAGCTGCTTCATCCTCCTCCAACACGGCGACTCCCAACCCCCGCTTCGCCCCGCAAAACAAAACCGTCCAAGAGCGCGTCTCCTCCTCGACCGTAGGACTCGTCAACCTCGCCGACTTTCGCAAGCGACGCGCCGAAGTTCTCGAGCAACAACACCGCGAAGTTCGAGAGGCCGCGATTGCTGCTGCGCGAGGGGGTAGCAGCACAGCCACTCCCGTTCTCGACACAGACAACCCCAGCAGCGCGGCTGCGACGCCATTGGATCGATCGGCCACGGGGACGCCTGCGCCCGGGACAGACGCAGAGAACGGGACGACGACAGGCGGCGAGGGGAAGAGCGAAGGCGAAACCAAGAAGAAGACATCAACGGGGGAAAGAAAAGCAAAGAGGATAAAGACCAAGAAGGCTTTAGTAAGCTTTGGCGACGATGAAGAAGAGGGGGAGGAGGAGATGGTGATTGTGAATAAGAAGAAAGCAAAGACACCAGCAGCAGAAAAGGAGGATACACCGAACCCTGACGGCTCGATTAGCGAAGACAAGAAAGAGGACACAACAACGAGCACACCCAACCGCGAAAGTAGCGCCGACGCCGACGCCAGCGACAATGTTACCAAAAAGAAGAAAATCATCAACACCTCGGCCCCCATTATCCCGCGCGCCCTCACCAAAGCGGCTCTCCGTCGCGAAGCCGCCGAGCGCGAAGCCATCCGCAGAGAGTTCCTGGCTAAGCAAGCAGCCGTTAAGGCTTCCGAGATCGCGATCCCGTTCGTCTTTTACGATGGTACCAACATCCCCGGCGGCATGGTGCGCGTGAAGAAGGGCGACCATGCTTGGCTCTTTTTGGACAAGTCGAGGAAGGTGGGCGCCGAGAGGGGTGTAGGACAGGACAAGATTTTGAATGCGCGGAGGGCGTGGGCGAGGGTGTCAGTGGATGATTTGTTGTTGGTTAGGGGGAGTATTATCATTCCACATGTGAGTACACTCTTTTCTTTTTTTCTTTGCATGTGTGGGACAGGATAGACGGTTGTGAAGAGGATTGATTGCTTGCGCTATGATCTATGCTATCTACTCATGCCAAAAATGCAGAATGCTCGCTATCCATGCTTTCCTCTTTAAAAAAAAACAATGCTAACACCCCTCCAGCACTACGAATTCTACTTCTTCATCATCAACAAAACACTGGGCCCCGGAAACAAGCGGCTTTTCGACTACTCCGATGACGCCCCTTTTTCGTTGTCAGATCCCCAAACATCCCCAACAGCCGCCGATCCCGCGGCCCTCTCCACCCCATCAAGCCGACTCGCTGCCCTCCCGGATATCATGACCTTGGAGGGTGCAAACGACGACCCGACTTTCACCAAAGTCGTGGATCGGAGGTGGTACCAGCGCAACAAACACATCTATCCGGCGAGTACGTGGCAGGAGTTTGACCCGGAAAAGGATTATCAGAATGAGATTCGAAGGGATTTGGGCGGGAATGCGTTTTTCTTTTCGAGGTAGTCGGTCGGTAGAGGTAGTCTTTTGTCGCAAGCGGATACCGTGCTTGAGTAGAGAATCGAAGATGTTGGTTGGCCTTCAATTGGCTCGATGTTTCGTTTTGTCGCTTGATTGGTAATTCAATGCTTCCAACGATGCGGTGTCGTGTGTGTGTGTGTGTGTGTCTCTATGTATATGCCTCGAAAGGCGACGCGATTGCGATCGCGGAATGCGAATAGCAGGTATCATTGCGATGCTCGCGACGCATTCAACTCGGACCAGGGACAGTTCCAGCTGTTCATCGCTGTCCCTGCCTGCCTGCCTGCCTGCCCCAGCGACGTCGCGATCATCATCACCACCATACTTTTTGTTTAATCATTTGCTCAAAATCCCCTAAAAAAAGCAGCAAAATGTCAGCACTTTGTTTCCCTCTTCACTTTTCTCCCCCTTGTCAGTCCAGTATATCTCACCTCTTTTTTTTTTTGCATGTCCATTCACCCACTAACACCCATCACTGTCCCCGATGTCCCCGACGAATTTGAAAAAACCCAACTAAGCCCCCAAACCATCACCCCCAAAACAATCCACCCAGGCCACAGCAGGAAACACAACAAGTTGCCTCCCGGTCCCAAGATCCAGACGAAAAACTCGAATTCGATTTTCTTGCGGATCTGCCGCGCTTTTCGGGAGTCCCAGAAGATGGACCAGCTGAGCGTGGCGGTTTCCATGGTGATGGTTCTGACGAGAAAAAGGGTGCGGTAGAGGATGAGGTGGCAAAAGAGGAAGAGATTGAGAGAAAAGAGGTGGAGGGTTGAGAGGATGTGGACGAGGAGGAGGGTGAGGGTGCTGAAACAGAGAGAAAAGAGGAGGAGGTGCGTTTGGTAGAGGGTTTTGAAGGTGGTGGTGAGGAGGGGGATGATGTGTGCTAGGAATGGCGTTGTTGGTGGTGGCGCGGGATGTGTGGTTGTTGTTGTTGTTGTGGAAGCGGTAGAGATACTTCTTAAAGTGTCGTTGTCGTTTGGAGATACAAAAGTCGTAGCAGAATCGGAAGAGGTACCGACCAGTCTCGAATACCCAAGGAGCGCCATCCTCTCTTCTTCTTTTATTTCTTCGACTTGACTGCTGTAGCAACAATAGCAAATGCCAAATACCACCAAAAAGTGGGAAATGATGTAGATCGGCTCTCCCGTTGGGCGAGATCCCTGTCCGTCAATTCGGTCTAGCCCGTGAGTGAGCCCGCCGCCACTTTTGTTCTTCTTCTTCTTCTTCACCTCGTTACGAAGGCGGTGTTACTAGTGTAAAAAGATGATGCGGCTTGTTGGGGGAGCTGTCAGGGGTTCGTTACTGGCACAGCAGCACAGCTCGTGGGAATGAATGTCTGGTTGGTCGCCTGCCTTGGCCTGAATGCTGAATTGGGTGGGAGCGGTGATCTCATCCAAGCGGGTCTTGTGACGGTGTCCTGGGCAAGTAACAAGGAAGCCTCAGCGGTGTGGTCGATCCAGGGTTTATTTCTTTTTTTCTTTTCTTTTTCGTTTTTGTCGACTTGTTGTCCGAATTCGGTCAACCGAAGAAAAATCAGGGTTTCGAAAGAAAGGGTCTGTCTAATCTGGGGTTTGTCGTCAAGCGTCAAATGTTTTGCTTGAGTATTGTCCGTCGTCAGTCAGAAGGGTAGGGGTTTCAAAGGATGATGATGGAGCAGGGTCCGCAGGGTTTGATGTCTTTGTTGGTGGTTGATTTTTCGAGATGAAAGGGGATCAGATTCACACAACAAAATTGGGTTTGAGGAGGGAGGGGGCTTAATATCAACCTTTTTTAAGACTCGCTCCTCAAGATTCAAACCCAAGATCTATCTCTCATTCTCTGATTGTAACGCCGGCAATCTCTGTGGAATCTCTTCCCCCAACATCTGCACCTCGAGAGATTCGTATGCTTTCGTCTTCTTTCCTCCCCGCTCGCGAATGGAAGCGACATGGAACCAGATAGGGGTAGAGTGGGGCATTTGCAGGCATTGCAACGCTGTTTTTGCTTAGCTTGTTTTGGGGGAATGGGGATTGCCGAGAGGATGGAATGTCTTGGCGGCTTGTCTTTCTATACTACACTACACTTTATCACCCAGCCATTCTTTTTTTTTTTTGTTTTTTTTTTGTGACATGCTGTTTCCGTCAAGATGTCCCCTCTTCAGGAGAACTGATTATAACCGTTGGTTCCTGAACGTGGTAGGCACAGTCAGCAGCAGTTCGTCCAGTCGCAATGCTTGGCCAGGCACATTCCCCAAGACAGGGATTTGACAGGGCACTACTGGTCTGTGCGTGCCGCTGTTGCGCTACGCCATTCGACGGGACGAACACCACGACGTGCTGTGGACGCTCCCATGATGTGCCCGGGACCTGAAATGGTGGGGCGGGGACGGGGCGGGGACATGCCCCAAATCGTCATTTTTTTTTTTTTTTTTATTTCTCTGAAGGAGGGGTGCACAACATCACATCGACAGTACTGTAGCTGTTAATCATATGGTGATCATGCACGGCAGTTGATGATCGAGTATCACTGTCTGTCGCTGACTCGCATTCAAACTTGTCAAGTTTCCCATCTTCAATATGAGTGTATTTTATTGACATTCTTCTCATGGCTGCTCGGCACATGATCCCCCGATCTTCCTGCCCTCCGCCATCACAATCAACGACGTCATAAGGCCCCAGACACTCCACTGTTAGAAATCAGTGGAAACAGACACCCGACTGCTAACGCCGTAATCTTGCCAATGAAACATCGATACCATGACATGTTTGCCCCTCTGTGACGGGATAAAATCTTTTTGTCGCTTGGCCGTAGATCGATCGATCATCACGGGTTTTCAAGATGCTTAACCCCATGTTCCTCTCCTCAGTGAAGATTCTGTTGACTTTAATCAGCAAGGGTACCTGTCCAAAGCGTGCCGCCGAGTTCACAATGTGGTGTATCAAGACACAAGCATGCAGCACTTGTTTCGCGACATTGTTTGTTTCACGCTGTGTACATCATTCGTCTCAAATGTCTCAAACATTTCATGAACCTAACCGACACTCGGAGATAAATCCATCAAGGCAAGCACAACTTTATATTCTTACCGAAGCAGCATAGATGGCATTCGGATCTCCAGACCATTACAGGGCGGCCAAGCCGGCTTTGCGCTCGGAAATGTGGATCCCTTCTCGGGAAGCGACCGAAAGAAAAGTAGATTATTGCCGGAAGCTCTCCGGCAATCTTCCGAGATTGTGCACATGCGTCCCTCGGCCAGGCCATGATAACAACGCTGAAAAGGTTGGACAGTTTCAACCTTTCAGTTGATGATTCAAGTGATCAGATTCATCCAGTTGGCAACTTCTGAAGTGAGCAGGGCAATCATTCTTTGGCAAGGAAAACGAAATGAAACAGATCATGTCTACTTTCCTGTGGCTTACATAAGCAAGTTAACGACATCCCAATAAAGGCATCGCGGGGACACTCGCCGATTTCGCATTCATTGGTGGTCAAAGTTGAGAATCATTTGGATTCTGCTTGGGATACTTCAGGCGTCTTATGGGTAGTTCACCCACCCTTCGGACACCATTTCCCAAGTGGTGAGTGAACATGTCTTTTTCTGATGGACACAGGCAGTTGCAATCACAACGTTGTGACTGGTAACGGAGACATTCCTTACCATGAGCAGAGCCGGCAAACCTCAAGTCCAAGAGTTATCTTACCATGGCCAAAGTCCTTGGGAAGCCAAATCCGGCATCGTCAACATGGAGAACTTTGAGCCCAAAGCCATCGACATTCTCATCCGGTACATCCACATCGGCATCCGCAATATCCCCGCCCTATTGGCCTCGGATGTACCGTCTGGTTGTGCTGAAGGCTTTGTGTCATCGATGCTTACCGATCCAGTGGAAAAGGCCTGACTGGGTGCGTGAGATTGAGTCATTGCACCAAATATGACTGTAAGAAGGGAAGGATGCTTTAGGTATTAAAGGGGATGCTACGTCCAATAATGCTGTAGCTGTGTTCTGAAGCTTCTTGTGTCTGCCTTTGTCCTTTTGAGCCCAGAATAATGTTCTCATGGCTTTGCGGTTCACCGGCTACTTTGGACGGAAAATGAGGAAGGACCAAACAGGAAGAGCGAGCATGTTACGGGGGAACAGAGGAGCAAGGAGGACTATGAGATGCTAGGTAACGTCTAGAGCTTTCTTGTTTGAAAGTGAACACACGGCGAATAAAGAAAAAAAGGTAGAAACGCAACAAAGATTGCTTTCTCTTATAACTCACCCAGCTTGTGTTTCTGTTTCGACTGCTCAAGGGCAGGCGACCGTGGAAAGATTCAATAGCTGATTTGGACGGAGCCGGCGGACGATAGCAGGTGCTACGTACCTCTAGATACCTTCCTCTGTATAGTTTACGGGCGACACACGATGTACTCTACTTTAGGCACAGAAGGTTTACATGGGGAGAGGATATAAACTAGGGGAAGAAACGTTCAGAGGATGGAAGGTTCGGGTCGTCGTCCTATCTGATGACCCGGCAACGGAGAAAGAACGAACGGTGGGTGACGAGGGAGGACCGTTTGGCTATCTCTCACCAAGTCCCTCTTGGAAAAAGGTTGGGCTCTATATCAGTAGAGATGGTAATTTAGACGGAGGATCAGCAGCTGCCAGTTCAGGCTTAAATGATAGCAGCTGTCAGGTGATGAGCATGGAATTCGAGGGCAGGGACCGAGCCGCCAAGGAAAGAGACGAAAAAATGCAGGAAAATAAACAAGGTTTGGGAGGTGGACCGACACTAAAATGGAAGGAGCGTGACTGGAGGCCAGCGACTGAAGGAAGGTAAGTGCCGTTCGTACACTGTCTGCTGCGTCAAAAGCAGCAAAGGTTCAAGGTGTGACAAGGCTGAGAGTGGATCGCATAGGGACCGTCGAATCGCCAGGTCAGTTGCCCGGCGACCCTCAACGAAAGGTATTGATGGGACGAAAAACGGCGCGTCGACGCTGAGGATTCTGTCCCACGGCAGGCCGCCTACAATTACCCCACCGTATTTTTCAGGCCGGATGGGAAACTTCTCAGATTTCAACTGCATATGTTTCTATCTATACCCCTCTTTCTTCTTTTTGTTTGACAACCTCATCTTGGAGGCACGGGTTCAGCAAAACATCAGGACCGCCAAGAACTCCAAAATGGAACCAGATCTGTCCATGTCAACCGGCTTCCCCACCCCGGGAAGCTCTTCCCAGGAAGAGAGTTTTGACAATAAGGTTACCTCTAATGACGACATGATGGACTTCATGATTGGAGATGAGTTCGACCATTTCCTCGGAGACCTCGAGCTTCACAACGCGGGCTGTAACCATCCCGTTCAGAACCAAGGACAACCGGCATTTGAGCAGCTCCAGAACCAACAGATTCTTCAACAGCTTGTCGACCCAACCGCATTTCCGCAGCTCATGGAGCAACGGGTAATTCCACAGCCTGTGAACACAGCATTTGAACCAAGCTAATGTTGTTCAGGAATTAAATCAAGTCGCTCCTGACCAGGGTCAAGGCTCCCATCAGTTTGCCGCTGTTGACTATGCCCATGCGGGCAAGACCATCAGTGAAATGATGGCAGAGGAGGACAACAATACTTACCAGGGATACATTATATCCCATGAGCAAGCCGAACGCTTAGAAGCTGACTACATTCAGCTGGCGTCCACCCAGGTCGCCGCGACCATTCCAGCCGCGTCCTTGGCGGACCTGCCGGGTCCAGATGAGGAACGCCAGTGGCGCAAGGCGATTTTCGAAGCGATCCGGGATTTTCGAAACGTCGTCAACAAGCCGCGTAGGAAGGGTAAGTCATTTCTCATTGTGGCAAGTACACGCTGGGCTGGGAATAGACGTCATCTTTGATTGTCGATTTCCATATTTGCCCAAACCTCTCAGTCATTTCTCTTTCCGTCGCGTTGTAACAGGCGAGTGACCTTGACATGAGGCTCGGTTCTTCATCGTTGTGTACCTGCCGTATTCAAGACATGCTCGGTAGGTAGGTCATAGGCTAATTGTAAGTTACAACAGACACCAAGGACAAGAACGGCAATATTATTAAGACCGAGTGGATTGAGAATACTCACGTTCGCCGCGTCCGTGAGATGAAGGGCGCCGCGACTGAGCTCATGGGAGACAAGATCCTTGTAAGCCATCATTCCCGGAACCAATAATCAATCAGCAATTGAGGGCTAATATACAAGTTCATAGACACTGGCAATCAACGCCCACAAAGGCATCAGCGGGATCCCTCCCTGGGTCGATAAAAAGGCCTGGAAGTTAGAGAGCTTTCCCTCTTTCGACGAGAGGATGAAGTCCGTTCTTGAAGGTTTGCGCACAAACAAGAGCATCGCGCACTCCTTCATCCAGGTGGATCCCACCAAGAGATTCGTTGCCGGTCCTAAGGCCGAAGTCCGTGTAAGTATCATCTCTTTTTGAAAGTGAGGTACTGGGAGTCTAACCAAGGTAATGAACCAGGGAAAGCAGGGAAATATAGACGGGAACGAGAAGAGGGGTAACCTCATAAGTGAGGGTCGGGAGGCGAGGAAAAGCGAGGGGGGGTGAGTTCTTTTCCTCGAGCGCGCCTGGATATGTCCACGAAGACTTCGGAAAGCCATCATCCAAGGTTCGCCAAAGAGAGAGGATAGAGGGCTGAAGGGATTTGAAAACCGGGAAGCATGGATGAGACAGCGGCACGGAATTTGCATCGAGATTGCAGTTAGGGGAATTCTAGTTGCGTGTCTTTAAGAGTGGCGTTTGTCGGTCTTCCTGTAATGATACCATAACATATCAGCGCTGGAGTTCGGCTATCTACCTCTATAGATCATCAGGGCTTCTTACTATTCGTTGATACCATCATTGTGGCATATTACAGCGAACAACAAGTGACATCTCCCTACCTGCCTCTTGAATATGACAAGCGGCGTACCTACCTTTTCCCAACCTCCCTCAACTCCCTTTTATACAAACTCACCCAAAGAACCCCGTTAGAGCAATCCTGAAATCCCAGTCCGTAGTGGTGCGAAAAGCGCTCCTGGAATTTGGAGCACTTTCCAACTTTCGACGCCCGCATGGAAGCCATCCTCGAGGCGTTGCGTACAAACAAGAGTGTGCCGCACTCATATGTCCAAGTCGACCGGCCAGGAGGTTTGTTGCCGCTCCCATGCGGGAGGTCCGTGTCAAGCAGGATAACATGGATGGCAACGAAAAGAAGGGAGGTCTGATCGACGAGGGATGGCAGGCAAGGCAGAAGGAGCCTCAGGGTAACTGAGCTCTTGTATCATTCCTTGGCTGGGGAATTTATCTTGGCGAGCATATGCCCCTTGCATGTTCTCTGTGCATGTGGCCGCTTGCCCTGGAAGAACTGAGCAAGATGTCTGTGTCCGGGGTCCAAGGATCTTGTTCAGGGCCGCGGCAGCGGCGGCTGAATTTGGAACAGCTCGAATGCGTTTCCTCTTGCGGTTTCACCAAGCAGTAACCGCGTTGTCTCCGTGAAAAAGGAACTAGAAACACAAGCATTAGCGGTCGGTGTGCTGCATGTTGTGCTCTCTTCCCCAGCTGTCACACCTCCTTAATCTCCAGGTAGCGATGGCTATCATGATTCTCAACCTCGTTGTCCGTCAATCGGTCGTTGAGGAGGGTACGCCGCTGGCCGCATTCGGTGTCTTGTTTCATCCCAAGGTCTCGTACATCCTCCTTAATCGATCAAGCCGTTGAATTACATGTATAAGCCACATGTGTAGTTATCGCTGAATATGGAGTGCGACTCATGAAACCGGCGAAGGTATGAGAATGTAGCTATGTCAATGGCGACACTTTGTAGGGTCCATTGTGGTCCCTCGCATCAAGGGTTTTCGATAGCAGCGTGTAAACTGTCAACTAGCAAGGACAAGAAGAGAAGAAAGTTAGCCAACGTGACAAGAAGCTCGAGCAGCGTGAGCGAGTCCATGATATCTGAGTAAAGGGAAATGTCATGGAGAAGATGTGGGCTTGAATGGTAGGTATACAAGCATTGAGAGGATCGACGGGCGGAAGCCAGATACTTGTAGTTACCTCTCGGCAAAAGACTGAGTCGTGCTCCTCGTGACCAATAACCAACCTGTTGATTGCATTTACACTCATGTCAAGTACGCTTCTACATGATGCAGCCATCTTCTCGTGCGTCTCTGCACTGCCATCGATTTCAAGCTGCCATGCCGCAGAAGCTCATCTCCTTCCCACGGATGATTATTCTGGTCATATCTATTTCCGACCAAGCCAACTTGCTCGTTTGCGCCGTGGGTATGTTCTCTGTGCTGTTGCTCGTAGCAACGCATCGTTCTTATGACGCTGACACCCTCTCCTCAAACTCGTCCCCTGTCACTTGTCTGAATGATCGCGTTTCTTCTTATATAGCCGCTGCTGTACTCCTTTGCGCCCCTTGCATGTCCCGTGTTTGCTCGCGCCCTCTGTCGATTTTTACAGGCGTTCTCTTTTCCACAATCTTATCTTGTGCTTGGGCCGTCCGCCGTTGTCCATGCTCCCAATGTTCGTTCCACACAAGCGGACCAAACATGGATGAGAGGAGTGAATTGACCAATCACAGCAAGGTTTAAAACCGAGTTGGGAAGGTGGGCACAACACTAGTGCAGCCAGGAACAGACTCTATCTGGACGTTGTACGAATGTAGGATGTGGTCGATGGGCTCGACAGCATGGTTGCCAATATCGGGTTCACTCATGGCATGGCATGGGGGTGCCAGGATGCGGAATTCGGGTGAGAGTTTCGGACATGAGGAACGACGCGTTGCCGGTGCAGCGAATCGGTGGGCTGTGCTGTGCTGTGCTGTACATGGGCTCCCGAGGGCATGAGCTACGAGGAACGAACAAACTATGCGCAACGGACCGCTCCAGTCTCCTGGACCCTCATGACATTCGTTCGGGCTGGAGATCAATCGTCGGCAGGCGAGCGGGACTGTCTTGGCGGACCATAGACATCCAGTGTGGTTGGGATATGGTACCCTAGAGGCAGCGCGCTGGGGAGTGGAACGGCATCAGAACGGCGATGACAGAGCAGTCGTCATGTAGCAGATGGCGGGCTGAAATTGACACAAGAGACCAGTGCCTCATGTTGACTGTCATGGATGCCATCAGGTTCCGTCTCTTGTTGTCTTCCTCGAGGAGAATGAAAAGCCCGGGCTTCCCTGGTGCCAGAGGTTTCACCGACGATTGCCGGCTCTTTCCATCTGTCATCACAATACCCCACAATGATGGAAGGTGCGCTCCAGGCAGTGTGTCAAATTGGAACAAGGAAAGCAGGAAGGCAGGTTGGCAAGTGTTCTCAGAACATCGGGCGTGTCCCAGTATTGCTGGGCTGTCGAACATGTCCATTGGTGGAAGTGTGGATACCTTCAGGTTGAGAGCCGCTGTTCAGGTTCAAGATCCCAGGTCAGAGATTCTGTTCAGCCTCAAGGTCGCACGATACTCCAAGGTCCTCGCAGTTGCTCTGTCACCTTGAACCCCTCTATTTAAAGCGTCCATGTTGAACCGTTTCCCAAATGTTAACTTCGCTTCAACACCATCATGGATCAACATCACAACTCGACCAATTGCTAGGTACATGACCAAACAGCAGCACATCTCCAGCAACTCACCACATCTAATCCAACTACCTACGCGCAGTCATTGTGATTGATCGACAATCGACACACACAACCAAACAGCAACAGCAAGATATCAGTGAGTACCTGACTTTATATAAGGTACCTACTACTCTCATCGCTTGGTTTTTTTTCGTTCTTCCTTGTTTTCTACTTTCGAGACTATTGGGTCCCTAATAAGACTCACACCCTGTAGTATGACTTGTTCAACGCTAATTTGGCAGTCCTATATATGATACCTGTTCTGTTCTTAGTCTTGACTTCATATCAATGTATTCTCCTCCTCTTCTCTGGCAATGTTCAAGATTCAACCGATACTCATTCTCTCCAATCTTACGCTGCTACCTAACCTATGTTGTTGTCATGGAAACTAATGGTCGACCTTAGTCATCAAGCATCCCAGAACACAGAACAAGATGGCCAATAACGTCAATATCGAGGCACTGATTGAGTCCCGCATTGAGGCGGCCATTTCCGCCGTACAAGATCTGCCGCAGCTTCTAGAGGAAGCTGTTGAGAGCAACTCTGTGGCTCTCGTAAACATGTGGTGGAAGATCCTCAGTAAGTCTGACTCCCAAGTCGACCTTTTGTCGACAAATCTAACTGTATGTAGTCCACATGTACGACAATCTTGTCACCCCGACTGGCACCCTTCGATTCTTCCATGAAATCGAGCTCCCTATGGTGCCCAATCAAGACCGTCCTAGGTATTCCGACTTCATCAAAGTGGCACATCGCTGGCTGGTCTGCATGCACTGCGCCGGTGTTGGAGAACAAGCCTTTGCGAACCTTGCCCAATACAAGCCGAGACTCACCACCGAGGTTTTGGAGGTGCTTGCCCCGCATGAGCGCGAGATTGACGAGCGTAGATACAATAGGAGGACGGCCGTTGACCAGGAGTATCCGGGAAACATCAGGTCCGAGGCCGAGTTCTGGCTACGCAAGGGCGCCCTGTTGACGACAACAGTCTGCGAAACGGAGGATTCAGAGGTAGCAGACATCTTCCACACAGAGGAGGAGAAGATGCAGTACGTGCAGGAACTGGTGGAAGCCATGGCAAACATGACGGACATCGCCGATAGGCCAAATCATCACCAGGTGGAGGCGATCAAGGCCATTTCCGGCTCCGTTCTTGAGGGGATTGCCTGGGAAGTCTATGTAGGTTCACCCATCGCCTGTGTCACAGAGCCGTCGAACTAATCACATCATCACCCTACAGGTCTACGCGCGAGATGCCCAGCAGGGGCGCACCAGGGTCCTACCCTGGAACACCAACTTCACATGGCGAAGCTACCCCACGTTTGACGACCGTTGGACAGATATTGTCGACTGCCTTGAGGTATGCCTACTCCATATTTCTCCCAAAAGGAAACATTTTAACATGATACCAACTTGTAGGAATGCAAATCGGCCGTGGCCAACTTGATGCAGGCGACCTACATCCAGAGGTATACCTGTGACCCGCACAGGGAGCACACTGTAAGTCAAGATCATACTTCCCGCAACATAACCGCCAGCATTACCCATCTGTATCTAACTCTTTTCTTCAAACCCAGCGCAAGGTCGGCCAAAAGCGCAACAACGACACCAAGGCCGAGAAGGCGGCGGCACATGCCCGAGCTGCTCAACAGCTGCAGGCAATTCAGGGCGCTGCCGTTGCTCTAGGCCCGGCCCTTCCAGCTATGGCTAACCCGGCTCAGGCCATGTTGTCGAACGTTGCTCCCGCTTTTGCACCCCAGGTGGCTCCCGTTGCCGGCCCCTTTGAGACTTCTATTCACGGAAACTTCCCCACGGCTCCGCCCAACAGCCCCAACGTGGAGCTTATGGCACCGGCTCCCGATGTTTCTATCTTTGAAAGTGATGAAGTTCTCTAGGAAGAATTTGGTTTCTAGGTACTCAAAGGGTATTAAGTTTCTAGGTAGTCAAGGACTAAAAGTGTGAAGGACATGTGGTACAAGTACCTCTAAGCTTGGCTTTATATCGTATTTTTGTACAAAGGTTGAAAATGACTTTTTTATCCGACAAGGAAATAGGATACGATTCACAAGGTGTGATCTCTGGATCGGTATTTAAGGCAATCGACGGTCAAATATTCACCACCAAAGTATGCGATTCGAGCATTGCTCATAAATGTATCTGTCCCTTGTCGTATCAGCTTTAGTCCCTCTGCTGCCCTGTGATGTCTTATCATTTGATTCACAGTCATAATGAACGTGTCTAGGTAGCTGCTACCCTAGAGGTACTATTGATGCTCCAAATTGCGACCCAATCAATCTTCGATTTGTGACCTTGCGTCCTGCCCCTCCCAATCACTTGCAACCCACTTCCTCTTCTATTCCATTATCACCTCTACCACCTCCATAGAAGAAGGAACGGATTAGACATGCCATGACTGGTGCAGGTGTACAAAAATCCAAGGAAGGAACAATTTACAGGTAAAAGTGGAAGGTAATTCCTCCCCAAAGGACTGACACAATTCTTCTACACCGGGAGCGGTCCTATGCATCAGAAACACCTGCGTTGGAATCTCCTCCTGAAGTACCACTTCTCCGACCTCCGCTCTCGCATGTAGAGGTATCTCCATCCAAACCAAGAGCCACCCTGATCGGGGAAGGAGTAGGCCCTCCGGGAGCCTCCTGCTCCGGTCCCTGTTGTCTTCCACTTCCATGACAACCACTCGTAAGTCCATGTCTAGCAAGACCAGGCAACCAAGGCCTCTTGCCCTCCTTCACATCCATTTGCTGCAAAAGGACATCCAGCTGCCTCGACTGTGTCTCCAAGATAGCTGTGCTCCTCTCCGTGGTCGCTATCATCGACTTGAGTGCGGTCAGAGTGTCGTTGGCTGTGCGCAAGTTCATGGATATGACATCTAGTACCTCCACTTGCTCCTTTTGGAGGGTGCGAGTGGAATTGAGGATCATGGTTATGGTCCAGCCCATCATGGTGATAGTGGCAAAGATCCAGATGACCCGTGCGATTAGGTAGGGTAGTTCATCTTGAACCAGGGTGGTGAGGAGGGCGGTGGTTTGGGGGGAATCCATGGTCAATGTGGATGGTGAGAAATTGGGGTGGGGGTTGGGGGTGGTGTGGGTTGAGTAAGTAGAGCAAGAGGAGAGGAGAGGAGAGTGATTAGGCATGGCGCTATATGTAGTCGTAAATGAGAAAGGATGAAGTAGGATTCCGGGGGTAGGGAAAGTTTGGTGAACCCTCTGGAAGAAAATATTTCAGGTGACTATTCTTTGGGGAAATGTAGTTCGTTGTATAGGAGTCTATGTACAATCAGCTCAACTCTTTGTGTACGAGTGCATTGCTTCATCACATCCAGTCATGCCTGTTTAAATCCGCTCCTTAATGATTCAGGCATCGCGTTTATTGACTTCAATTACAAGTTCATCATGTAGGCAAATCATGCAAATGAAGACCACATGGAGAAAGAGTAACCTGCCCAATTAATGACAAAGCTCGGCAGTGAGTTAGGTGGTAATGAACCAGCATACCTGTCTTTATCAATACCGTAAGCCGAATATTTTCATCAAGAAGAAGGAGCAATGCAGTGAAATGGCATGTGCAAACGAGAGAAGTTCGACTAGGTGGGAATTGTAATGATCTCAGCTCGCGAGGGCAGGATTACGAATCACGTCTAAATGCCATTCAATGTGGAGGGCGACGTCGAGAGTGCAAGTAATGAGAGAACATTGCACAAGCGACCCAGTGGAAAGTTACCTCTACACAACGAAACACATTGCCAGGTCACGTCTTCATCAATTTCGCTTTTTGCCAACTGTCAATTTTCAAGAAGTTTTCAATTTTGTTGTGCCGTGATAAAGAGGTAGCCCAGCCAAACCTTCCTCAGCACCTTCCAACCAAACCATTTTCTCGTGGTTCCCCCAATCCGTGACACCCTCATTTTCCACGACCGACTCCGATAGTGCAGTCCAGTCGCTAGGGACGTCAACCAACTTCACCTCATTCCCCAAACCCACACCACCACTGCGCTGTTCCCCATCCTGCCTCGATTGCTGCTCAGAGTCAGGCCGGCTATCGAAAAGAATCAGGTTCTCCCGACTCCCATACTGCGACCAGTCGATGTCCCACTTCTCAGAATCCCAAGCATCGTACCTCCAGTTCCGTCCCGGTGGGCAGTACTCCCCATGGCAGTCCCACTTCGAATGAAGGCACGGCCGGTCCTTGATGCTGAAGTGCTCGAGCAGGAGATCCATCTGGCGCCCTTGCCGGTCATGATGCTCCTTGGCACTGGACTCGTAGTCGAATCGTCCCTCCTCCATTCTCTTGGTCACCTCCAAGAGCTCGCGGGTTAGCTCGACCTGCTCCTTGGTCAACTCCACCTGGTCTTCTTCGGGAGACTGCGGCCATTTCCCTTCCTTGTAGCACTGGACAAGGAAGAGAATGACGGCGATGACGCCTGTGCCGCCCAGGCCGAGCCAGATGTTCGCTAGTGCTGCGAAGAAGGTGAGGATAGAGGTCAGCAAGGAGTTGCTGAAGGGTCCGGATGAGGAGGTGGTTGGCTGGACTTGATTTATGTTGTTGATGGTCAGGTTGACGGGCGAGGAGGGGTCGGTGGCTGCCCTTGCTTGGTTCAGAGCGTCGATGATGGCCGTGGTGATGTTTGTAATGGGTGCCATTGTTCTTGATTGGCGGTGAATGAAGATAAATTCTTTGGAGGTAGTGTTCAAGATGATCGGTTGTGACAACAGGGTTGATCAGTTACTTGAGGTTGGTAGTTGGTAATGGGAAAAAGATTTTTGCGGATGAGCAATGGGCGTAGAGAGAGGATATTTATAAGGTCCAACGAAGCGAATATTCGTTGTGGTGAAGGGTCATCTCCACGTGAAGGGACGTCTTCGAGCGTGGTGAAGGCATCGCCAAGCGTTAGGAATAGAACCTGAAGAAACACGCGTGCGGTGAATACCCGACGAAAAGCTCGACGTGAACCTTGAGAATACCATACTGGGTGAATGTTTGCGGAAAGGTTCAGATTGGCTATATATGGAAGAAATGGCCTGCAGGGAAACCTTGTGATGATCTCAATATGATATGCTAGAGGTAAGGTTGTAGTACTACTGGAAGGTTTCGGAGGGCCTCAAACCAGGCGAGACACTCCGCATGTTAGGGACCATAAAGTTCGAAGATGTCATGTCTTGTATAATTATCGAGCCAGGAAAGTGATCAGATTCATGCCTAGAGACAATGGCGTTTTATATCTAGTCAGAATGGAGATGTTCAAGTGCAAATGTGTGTCATAGCTATAGTGTGATGATGTTTTGCTTGGTGTTTGGGGTTTGACGTTTGTTAGTGTATCGTCAGCTTGTAGTGCATTATAGCGCGCAACATCTAACAGCGATGTTTGAGTGGAAAACGCCAAGCATTCAGGGGAAGGTTGCCGGAGGCCATATCTAACAGCACAAAAGCAAGAAGCAGGCCAACAACAGGAAGAGAAACAACCCTCATCAATCCAAGTGATCCTTACATCTCAGACGCGGTAATCTCCCTCCTCACTGTCCATATCTGATAAGCTTGATAGACTGTCACCCCCCAGAGTTTCCCTCGCTTCCCTCTCAATCGGCTCCAACGCCCGTTCAAGCACATCGAATTCCAACCTGCCTCTCGACCAATCCACCATCTGGTGTAAATCCAAATCGTACCAAACTTGGTGAAACAACTTCTTGACCAGCCTTCCGAACTTCTTTCCATCCTTGGCCACGTTTTCGTCCTTCCACTGAAACAAATCCACCGCCTTCCTTGTCCAGGAAACCACGTCCTGCGTTCTAGCATACCTAAAGTCATTGTACTCGTAGAGTGCCCGCTCTAGCATTATGTCCGTGCCTAGTTCAGATTCAGAGCCGTTTGAAGCCTGAATCTCAGTCACCTTTTCCAACAGCTCCGCCAGAATCAGCGCATCTTCGATTCCCAGTCCACCTCCCGCTCCCAGATGCGGGCCTGTGGCGTGCGCGGCGTCGCCGGCTACGGCTACCCGGCCGGAATAGTATTGCGGAAGGGGAAAGTCCAAGGTGTCAAAGATGCCCCACTTGACAATCGGTCCGCCGCCTTCTTCATTTTCTTCCGGAAACAGGTCAGCGAGCTTTTGCACGGTGGGATGCCATCCCTTGAATGCCTGGCGGATGTCATCTTTGTTACCGGGGAGTACGTGTCTCTGCTCGTCCGGCCACTCGTTGGAATCGCTGATGACGGCCAGCATGTTCAGGACCGAGTTATTGCCGATGGGGTAGGTGATGATGTGCGCACCAGGGCCGTTGTACATGAATCTTGTCAAGGCACGATGCTGACCCACGGCCTCGATGGCGCGGGACATGGGGATGAGGGCGCGGTAGCAGTATTTGTGGGTGTAGCTTTCTTTTGCTACATGTTGGATCGAAGAAGACTCGAGATGGGACTGGACATGTTGACGCAAGCGGGAGCGAATGCCGTCGCAGCCGATGACGAGGTCGACGCTAGCGTGGGTACCGTCGGTGAACCTGAGCAATATCTTTCCACTAGCCTCGCTGGGATTGTATCCTTGGTCTCCGGGTTCTTGAACTGACTCTATCGTCTTGTTGAACTGGATGTTCTGTGGCGGGACGAGTCTCCCCCACTCTTCTAGAATCTCGGATCTCTTGCAGCCCAGGAATCCGTCCTTGGGCACGGAAAGGGAGTACAACCGCTCGTCGGTGAGGCCATTGATCCACTGGAACTTGTCTTCGCCATTTGGGTTGGCCGTTCGCTTATAAGCGTGGAAGATATCAGGGTTGAGCAGCTTCATGGCTTCTTCGGCGTTGGGAGAGAAGCCGATGCCGGCGCCGATCTCGCGGAAACCGGGGGAGCGCTCATAGACTGTATAGGATATGCCACGGCGTTCGAGCCCGAGAGCGAGGTTGATACCGGTGATGCCGCCGCCTATGATTGCTACGTGCAAGGGAATGGGCGAGGGCCCGGACGGGAAGCGACTTTGGGGGATGGAGGGCATTTCGGCTTCGCGTCGTCTGTTGGTAGTACAAAAGGTTCTAGAGAATGATTTCCAGGGATATTGAAAGAGGTCTCGGAGCGTCGTAGTGTTCAAAGAGTCCAGACAGAAGTCGGGGGTTGAATGTTAATGAGTCGACATGGAACGAAGTGTGAAGTACTCGAGTCACGAGAGAGCGAGGGGCCTACATAGGTTTTATGCAAAGCTCAGCCCAATCTGTTGTGAGAAGGCATGATTGAGACATAAGTTATGCAAGTGACACAGGTTTCTGCACGCGTGGGTTGAGTGCCTGTGGTGTACGGGTCAGTTCGGGTCGGTGCTTGGGTGGGGGACATCCGACTTTGGTACCTCAAATGTTGTGCAACACCGGCGCAACCCGACCTTCCACTTTCCCCAAACAACTCAGCTGAACATACTTTAGTTCTAGACGACTTGTCGGCTCCTTTTCTTCAGAAACCACCAAGTCACCGAAGCGCAAAACAAACTTCTCGACTTCCCGCCCCATTATCACCATGCCGATGCTAGGAGGAATCCCCGGCCACCCCAAGAGCAAGGTGCTCTTGACTGGTATGTCACCTGGTCGCCATGATCCTCATTTCGTCAATTCTGTTAACACAATCGGCAACAGGCGGCACCGGCTTCATTGCCTCCCACATCCTCGATCACCTTCTCGAGTGCGGCTTCGACGTCGTAGTAACCGCCCGCTCCCAAGCCAAAGGCGAACGTATCCTCGCCTCCATCGCCACTTCCCCCAACGTGGTCAATAGCGTCGGCTGCAAGGTGACCTACGCCGTGGTTGAAAACATTGCTGAAGACGGAGCTTTCGATGAGGTCCGTTCCTCCCTTTTCTTTCCATTCCACCCTTAGTTTGCTTCCGCGATCTTGTACCCGTCCTAACAAGTCATCTCCCCCACAGGTCATCAAAACCAACCTCCCTCTCCACTACTGCATCCACACCGCATCCCCTTGTCAATTCTCCTTCTTGGACCCGGTAAACGACTGTCTCCTCCCAGCCATCAACGGCACCGTCTCGCTCTTGTCTTCTCTCCAGGAGTACGCCTCCTCCTCCCTCCTCCGCGCCGTCTTGACCTCCAGCAGCGCCGCCATACTCAACCCGCCCAACCACCGCCCCGTGTACGATGAATCCTCCTGGCCCGACGATCAGACCCTAAACTGGGACCTGGCCGCGGACCCCAACGCGCCCGGCGACACGACATACAGAGCTAGCAAGAAGTTCGCCGAGCAAGCGGCGTGGGAGTTTGTGGAAGGGAACGAGCTCAGTTGGGACTTGGCGACGATCAACAACACGTATACCTTTGGCCCGCTGCCGAGGAGTCTGGACGTCAAGAATGCCGGGGAGTTTAAGGTTAATACGTCGAACGAGAGGATTGCTGATTGCTTGACGGGTAAGTGGTCCCAGGAAATTCCGCGGACGGCGCCGGTATTCACGTTTGTGGATGTGCGCGATGTGGCCGTTGCGCATGTGAGAGCTATGACGAGGCCCAAGGCGGGAGGGAAGCGGTTTTATGTTGTTGGGGGGTTCTTTAGCAATGCGCAGATTGCTGGGGTTGTTCATGGGTTGGGTAGGGCGAAGCATCAAGGTAGGGAGAGGGAGGTTGGGAACAAGGGGGAAGAGGTGGAAATGTGTCAAGAGTGTGTCAATTGGGATGACTTTCCCGAGAATCACTGGAGGTTTAACAATGCGAGAAGTAAGAATGTGCTGGGGCTTGAGTATCGAAGTTTGGAGGAAAGCGTGGTTGATACGGTTAGGAGCTTGAGGGAGATGGGCGTTGGGAAGGGTAAACCGCAGATTGCTGGACATGGTGATCCGGACGAGGAGATTGTGCCAAACTAGAGGTAGCGGAGCCGTGTAAACGTTATCGAGACAAGGAACAAATCAGGGTATCAAGGTAGACTGAACTTATCGTCATCATATCCAAACTCAAAATCAGGCATCCTGCTTGTACTCCCCCTTGGCCACCCTCTCACACAACTCCTTCAACGTGTTTCCCGCCCACTCGAAATCGCTCATCTCCAAATACACCTGCGCGCTCAATCTGGCCCAGAACCTCCTCCTGTGGAAGGTCATGGGCACAAACGTGTTATACTCGTCCTGCAACACCTTGTACATCCACTTGAACGCCGCGTCCGCCTCCTCATGGGGAATCTCATACAACCCCTCGACATCCTTCTTCTCCTTCTCCGTCAATTTGACCGGTGCCTTGGGATCCTCCCCTACGACGAACGGCAACGCAATATTGACCATGGCGCACCTAATCAGCGTGCCCGTGCTATTCTCCAACACTTTCGTCCCCAGAATCTCCGCCACTTTCTGTCCACCCTCCCTCGCCAATTTGGTCATGTACTCCATGATCCTCTCCTCCCCACCGAGCACCTCCTCGCGCCACTTGATGGCATCCTTGACGCAGAAAAAAGGCGAGTTATCCACCGTGCCGACAAACTCAAAGTTGCTGACGAACGCGGACTTGGACCCCACCGGCACCAGCGGGTTAAACCTATTCCCAGCCTGCGGTACGAATCCATGACTAGTAGGCAACGTCGACCGAATCAAGTGCTGGTTACGCACAGGAACGTAAAACACAGCGCACCCGCGCGGAGTGAACAGCCACTTGTGGCAGTTACTGATCAAAAAGTCCGGGTCGGTCTCCGAGATCTTGAGGTCCACCATACCGATTCCTTGGGCGCCGTCAACGCACGAGATGATGTCTTCTTCCTTGCAGATCTTGACGATGTCCTCGAACGGGAACCGCACGCCAGGCATGGAGGACACGACGTCGATAACAGCCAGACGGGGTCGCTTGCCTTCTTCGCGGCTTTTCTTGATGGCGTCCCGGAAGGCAGCGACTACTTCGTTGTCTTCGGCCGGGTAGATCAGTTGGATACAGCGGGAAGAAACGATCCCTCGCTTGTCTTCGATGACGTAGTCGATGGTCTTGCCGCAGGCGCCGTAGATGGTGTCGAAGTAGAGGATTTCGTCCTTGCCGTCGGCGGACCAGACAATGTTGCGCAGGACGGTGTTGACGCCTAGAGTGGCGTTGGCGACAAAGACGACGGTTTCGACGGGGACTTTGAGGAGGTTGGCGACGGCGGCGCGGGATTCGTCGAGCAGGACGGGCGTTTGGTATCGCAGGAAGGGGCAGGGACGGGCTTCGGCGGCGGTTTGGTAGGTGCGGAGTTTTTGTTGGATGGCGGAGGGGATGGTGCCGAAGGAGCCTGCTTTTTGTTAGGACACATTGCAGTTGTAGGTAGGTATGCATGGGGTGTGTTGTACAGACCATGATTGAGGTTCCGGTAGGCAGGGTCGAGGACGAATTCCTTGAGGAGGGCATTGCCGAACGGGAGGGGGCCAGTGTCAGTTTGGGTGGTGTCGGCCTTTTGCTGCAGAGGCAGCACGGTGGTGGCGACCATTGTGACTGTTATTGTGGTTGCTGGATGGTGAGAGACGGAAACAGATGATGAAAATGATGATGTTTGCAATGAGTGAGTAAGGAAACACTCCTTCAAATATAAGAATATTAGGTATTTTAAGACGTCAACAGTCTTGACTCACGGAACCCCACAGACATGTGCACATTGGATGTGAGTGCCATGACTCCATCGGGCCGTTCATCAGCCCCTTGCCAACCGGGAAACCGAACCGGATCGTCTGTCGTTAGCGGGTCCTTCCGGTGGAGGGTTACCCCGTCTTGTAGCAAAGACAGGGGCATGCATTGACTCAACCCAACATTCGTCTTTTTCAGCTTTCAGTCCTGGACCTCTGATAAGCTCGTATTGTGCAACTCTATCGAGTCATTCCTTCCAGAACTCTTATCTTTGAATTTGAGGTATGACGAGGTTGCATCTTGTCAACTAAAGGGCGTACTTAAATGCGTTGAAAGATGGCTGGATACTTGAAAGCGGGGAACATGCCGGACGGGTGTCGGCAATTGTCGGAATGCAGCGGGTGTGGCGCATGCGGTTGGAGACGGGTCAAGGACGGCGGCAGGCATTGACTTTGTGACTTGTTTGGGATGTTTGTTGACATGGTGATGATGTTGGACAAGAACCATGGTGTTGCGAAACATTGAAAGTATTTGTTCTGGTAAGTTTCGTCAGTTCTCGAAATGTTCGCGACCAGGGACCCTCACGACGGGAGTCAGGGCGCCTGACTAAGCAGTGTCGCAACGTCATCGCGGTTGTCATTTTCCGGCACGTACCTCGGTACAGTACAATTCATTGTATGTATCGCAGGTAACAAAACATCACCACTGTTGCTGGCCACGCTTCTCAACCTCACTTTATCAATACCACCAAACCATGCTTCCATAGGCACCCTTGATATTTCCGCCCACCCAAAATGACCGCCGACGAGCCCCCATCCGAGTCCCTCACTCTCTGGGAGAAACTCTCTCTCACCTGGCTTGTTCCGCTCTTCGGTCTGTCCCCTCCAATTCTCATATCTCAAGGTGAACTTCTCACTAACACCCACCACAGCCGCACGATGCATCAAATTCCTCCTCTTCCAGCGTAATCCCTCCCTACACTGGCGCCAAAACCTCGCCCTGGCCCTGCTCAAAGTCCGCCGCGCCACTTACCCCGCCAAGTACCTACACCTCCAAGCACGGCGCGTCCCAACAGGGAAAGCCATCGAACTTTACGTCTCCCAACACCCCAACATCGCCCACACTACCGTCACCGTTCCTCTCCCGCCGGCCTCAAATCCTCAGCTTCAAAATGTCCCACCACCAGTCTTACACTTCCTCACCCCCGTGACTGCCCCTGGGCAGGACACTGACAAGAAGACCACACTCCTCTACTTCCACGGCGGCGGCTTCGTCAACCCCCTCCGCGCCACAGGCCACATGCCTTTTATTCTCTCCCTGCACAAAGCCAGCGCTGCCCACCAAAGCATCATCCTCGAATACGCCCTCGCGCCCGAACACCCCTATCCCGCACAACTAATCCAAGCCGTCGCCGCTCTTTCTTACCTCCTTACTGATCTATCACTTTCGCCCTCTGACATCATCCTCGCGGGAGACAGTGCAGGCGGCCAACTCGTCGGCGCCTTGCTGGCTCACCTCGCCAAGCCCAGCCCGTATGCGCCCCAAGTAGAAGGTTGGAAGGATGAAAGGGACCAGCAGTTCAAAGCGGCCGTGTTCATCTCCCCTTGGGCTTCGATGCAGCGACCGGGTGGTGCATCCATGTTTGAGAAAGCAGATGACAAATGGGATTATCTCACGGAAGGACAGTGTGCGCGGTATCAAGAACTGTGGAACCCCAAGGTGGATGAGGTGTGGGCGAATCTGTGCAGTTTTTCGGGAGACGGAAATACTAAACAGGAAGTGGAAGTTTGGGGACGGGTGTTTGGGCGGGATGGGCAGAGGGCAATGGTGGAAAAGACGTTGGTGACGGTGGGCACGGCCGAGGTGTTGGTAGATAGTTGTCGGCGGTTTGGGAGGGATTGTGTGGGGGGTGAGACGGTGGTGGTGGATCGGGATACTCCCTCTACGGACTTGGAGAGGGAGGTCAAGGGGAGGGATGTAGTGACGGTGGAGTGTGTGGGCGATGCACATGTGCAGCCGACGTTAGACGCGGCGGTGGGGTATGAGGAGGGAGTGATGATGAGGGTTATGTTGGCTTGGTTGCGGGGTGTTTAGTGGTCTGTATTAGAACTGGGTGGGTATGTCGACTGAGCTTGGTCAAACTGCCTGAGAGTTCTTTTGTGTAGAAACGGGATATAACATTCGGCCTGTAAGGTATCTAACGCAGACTCTATGCTCTCAACCCTCATTCTTACTAGGCTATTCTCGTATTCATCTTGACCCATGGTGTCCCCCGGCAGGGTTCAACTAGCTTTCCTGTAAGCCAATCCAAGAACCCCTCTAATTTGACTTCAGCTGGTTCCTCATGGCGTAAATCGGTTGTATCTTCACGCATGACATTTACTCGCGCAAATGTTTCAGTCTGATTGTCGAGACCCGGGGACTTCATGAGCATCATGTAGTAGATATGGCCCGACTGGTTATAACCAAGTACAATGACTCGAAAATCGAACGTGCACTCGGTGTAGGGTTTGATGCTGTCGGCCTGGTTACCCCTCTGCGTTTGAAAATGATAGAGGTATGCCACGGCGCTCAGATTGTCTGAATGTAGAATGGAATGTTCCACGTTGGCCCAGCACCGGGGTTCTGTGCGGTTAGTCGGCTCGAGCAGTGACTGAAGGTGCTGCCCATCAGCATCTATCAATATCCAACGGTGGCTATAACCCCAGCCACAGCAGTGGTTGTCGCGCCGATCATAACTTCCACTATGGGCATAGGTTTCGTTGATGGGAAGTATAGTTCGCTCGTGGAATTTCGCCCAGTCCACCTCCGTCATGTATCGTAGTTGCGGATTAGCGGTATATCCCTGGATGTGCAGAATCCGTGGCGGGTTTGGCAAAGTTGTCAGCCATGATACATCCGAGTCGTAAAGGTATCCTTGGGCCCAAGAGACAACCCTGCCATCGTCAAGCTCCACACTCAGATCGACAAGGGAAGTAAAAATCAAATCTCGGCGAGGGGGTTCAGGGTGATAGTTGATGGTGTACTTGTCGTCATCTCCACCACCACCATGAAGTTCAACTCTTGGCCTCCAATCAGCCCATGTCCAGCTCGGGAACATCTCCTTTCTCGGTGATGCTGTTGTTCCTTCCAGCTTGTCAAGCTTGCGCAGGATCGGATCATAATTAGTCTGACGGTAGAGGTAACACCACGCTAAAGTGCGTACGAGGTTATATCTGATTCGTTGTCCAGAGGACATTGATATGACCTCTGGAAGCATCAACACACCCCATAGGTTATAAATTGACGGCTTCAAGGACTGCAAATACTTCAACATGCCCGAAAATGCATTCAGGGTGTCGTTTTCGAAGGTCAGGCTTCGAGGGAAATAGTCCTCCACAAGTTGCACACACCAGTCAAGCTCAGAAACCTCAGCTTCTCCGATCTTGGTCAGAATTAATGATTTTGCAGGCATGAATCGCGTGAATTTTGTGTTTTGGGTACTGAGTACTTCGTGTCTGAGCTGCAGTAGAGCTGACGGCTCATGAAGTGCCTCAAAGCGGTGCGACCTAGGTGAGCTGCATTGAAAGTATGCTCCATCATCGAAGAAAACGAGGCAGCGGCATGATAGAAAAGCTTCCTGCATCGTCCAAGCTCGATTATTCCACATTGAATCCCTCAATACGGAGGGAGCAGTACTTGTGTCAACTGTGACAAACGTTCGGGATCCAATTCTAACAGAAACTGGTGGATTCTTATCCGGGCGACCGCGGCCGTATCTCGGCAACGACACACCTGGAAGTCCGTGGGACGGATCATCTGACGCCGCCGCAATGATTGTCAGGGAAGCAGACCCATATATGCTATCCATGTTCTGAATCTGTGTGTGTTTTGCTTCTTGATCCCCTTGCGGGATACAGTACCGATCAATCCAGAGATATTTGAGGCCTAGCTTGATGACCGCCGTGATAGTGTCTTCGATGAGAGGAGGAAGCTTTGACGGAAGTGGCCAATCGACTGTCCGGTCCGAGATGTCTTTGTTTCCGTCATTCTCATCATCCGATTTGGTTCCCCACACGTAGCTTAAAGCGACATAATTGCGATCTTGGTTTTTCGGTAGCTGCGACCATGAAACGAGCCTCCGAGACGAACAGTCGATTACTTGGAGCCCTGGAATTTCTTGGAGAATGGAGGCGTCGGTTTGGCAGGTGGTAGAGCCATGATGCAAAGTGCAGTCGTCAAACCATGACTTGACAAGCTCGAAGTCCGCATAAGGTCCGACGAGACGGCCACCTATCTTCCCTGGATCACTGCTGACTTCAAGAGCTATACCAGCGAGCCCAGAGTCCCGAGTGCGGTGGTATGGTATCCGTGGGACAAATTTCAACAAACCCATTAATTGAAACCATTCCACTTCGTTCATCTGTGGCTTCACTGACTGAACCCACATGCAAAAGGTGTCTGAAATGTCGAAGTCTTCAAGGATGCCGTACTGATTCTTTGCTGAACCGATATAAAGGTAGCAATTTTCTGTAAGCCAACTTTCAAGGGTACCACTGACTCGAAGCATGTGGGCCATGACATTGCAGAGGTTACATTTCTTTTGTCGGGACTGTTCGACTGGGATGTGGTTCCGAAGATCGATGCGTACGCGCAAGCACTCGCGTTCGAGCATATCAAGGCCATCAAATCCCCGGTCAATGACTTTCTCAAGCCGGGCACTAATTCGTCGACATGTTGAGCAAAACCCTGTGCCATCCTGTGTGCTTGTGTTAGTACGCAAATCCATGGAACGAAGACTAGTTGAAGACCTACGATGAGCGTTTTTATGCCCGTTTCAGCCCATTGTTGTTTCAGGTGGTCCCGAAGGCGGCGGCGTTGAGTTTGTAGAAATGTAGCCATTATTTAACCATGGGGGACAGGGCAGAGCAAAGAGAGAAGGTCGAAGACGAAATTGTGTGCGCTTGAATGTGCTGCAAAGGTGCCGAAGAAATGTCTCACAAACTGGTTACAACTTGGGGGGTTGGCTCCCTCTTCAGCATCTCAACAACCCATGTTGTCGGCTTTGCATAGGTGGTGGACGTGGACTTTTCTTGTTGGGCGGAGTCGTGTCGTTGTTGGGCATTAACAGCTGGGAATATGGGGGCTGTGGCGGGGACCTGATGGCGCGGTCTTGGGGGAGCGAATCAAAGGAGAACCACTGAGAGAAGAATGTACATACTAGCTGCAGGGCATGCCACTCAATCAATGACGACTGAAGTGGTGAATCGGTGATGGTTGGTTGATGGAAAACAACAAGGTAGAATTTGAGCCACTCACTCGAGGAGGTGCCGCACTCAGTTTTTGTGCCCCTCAAACCTAGAGGTACCTTACTCGTCGGTTAGGTGGATTCGCTTCGCCAGCCAACCGACTCTCATCGTCGCTGTAAGCTGCTGTACGGCGCCTTTACACCATCGCCAACCAGGCAAGCATCAATGTCAAGAATCGACCATAAATATCCGACTCCGGCCTCCAGCTCTCGTCACTTTTAGTTCCCCTTCCCACTCTCAACCCGGTGTAGTAAAAATTTCCATCTTTCAGTCTACCACAGCAGACTTCTACCTATTCACCCCAATCCTAACATCAGTAACAACTGATGATTCATCGAAGTGGGGATGTGGAAATGCCGAGTGGCTTGGGTGTGTCCAAATTACCAGGTAGGTACCGACCGCAGGCTTGGCGGGGCTTTCCACGACGAAATGCTGTTAAATGAGCAATATCGGTGTCTCTACTCTGGTGCTATGGAAAGAACCAACCGCTTCCCATATCAAATCTTCCTTCCCATTTTCAGTATTGAGGTTTCACATCTCGCAGCAATCAAATAAGTAGCATGAGTCCTGTGACTCGCGTGACTTGGAATCTGACGCCAACCACACTACTTCGGTTACACGACCTTAACACCATGGCTCGCAACTCGCCAGCTCGTATGAACCCGGGTGACTAGGAACGCATACTCCCACATTCCAGAGCTTTTTGCATCGACACTTCCACGTCTCCTTTATCACCTTGTTTCGACGGCCAACGTTGAGCACCCCATGCCAGCAGAACCATTGGTCCGGAGTATCCTCCCGCTCGAACGCGTCAGTACTTCAGCCTTCGTTCAATTCCTGGCGCGAAGAGGCTGGATAGGACGGATGTGATGAGTGGCGTGTGGATGTTGGGGTCGGGTTGGCTGGGCCTAACCATCACATAGGGCCTCTTGAGGATGTGGAGGTCGACAACCTTGGTGGTGGTGCTGACGCAGGCTTCGAGTTGGGTGATGGCCACTGGGGTTGGTTTGCCGGGCTCGAAGTGTTTAACATTTTGGTGCGGTAGAGGTAGAGGTAGGTCAAGGTTCTCGTCAAGCCCGGCCTGTGATCTGGTTCGTTTGTGGGCTTGCTTTTGGGTGGTGAGGGTGTCCTGGGCGTTCTGTTGACTGGTTGAGCATTCGACTTGTCAGACCCACTGCAGTCATGCTGATGTTGGATCTCCATGGAATGGTACGTACCTACCTCGTTGTGCGGTCCTGGTTCGTGCTTGATGTGTACCTCTACGTCTTCTTCTTGTGATGTCGAGCTTATTGCCACGGGTACTCGTCGGTCGACGAGTAAGCTTCTCTGCTCAGGAAATGACATCACAGGAGGCACCGTGACAACCAGAACTTCCAATCCAGCCCTGGCAATTTTCTTCTTCGCCTCGAGCTGGAGTCGTTCGGCGGCCAACTTCCGTTTTTGGTCATTCAACTCAGCCTTCTCTGCAGCGATACACTGCCTTTCGATTGCCAGCTCCTGTCTCCTGAGTTCCATGATCCTCTCTTCGGTAGCCCGTTTTTCTCTGTCAAGGACGTAGGCATGGTGTTCCTTCTTGAGAAACTCCCTGGCAACGGGCAGTGACGCAAAGCTCAAACCCTGTTTCATTTCCCGCTGGGTGAAGCGAACTGTCATCTTGAACAGCTGCCACATTCTGTCGTGGACTTCCTGGGGAAATAAGCATCGGAAGGACATTTGCTGCGCTGAGTCTGCAACGTATTTGCGGATGTCTTCGTTGCTGACACGGCCATCGTCATTGTCGAGTCCGGCGTTGACGGGCATGGCTGGAAGCTGGTTGTGGTTGTTGGTGTTGGACATTTTGCGGTTTGTGATGGGTTGTTGTGATATATACCTCTACACACAGATGAATAGGGTTGCTCGTTACCTTTACATGGAAAGCGTGTTGTTGTGAGTTACTGGTTACAGTGAAGGACCGAGGGGTTGAAAGGTGGAAGAGATTGCACAACACGAGCAAAATTTCGAGGGAGGAGTGAAGGGTTGGTGGGCCAGGTGGCAGAGGACAAAGCTGAGGCTCGCTGTCACTTGGCCAACCTTCTCGTCCCAATGGTGTTACGTCTTGACCGCCTGGCGTTTTGTTATCTCGTACCTTCCTCATTTGAGAGACCCTTCACCGACTGTCGAACTCCCGCCCCGTGTCAGGTCAGTCGGCAGATGTACTGCGTAAAGTGGGTGATGCCAGTGAAGGGAAAGAATGACGGTTTAATGGAGAACGGGGCACGGAAGCATCCATATTATATCAACTTCCATTCAATCTTTTCTTGAACAATTTGAATTTGGAGTCTCGGTGTACTGCGAATCGCCATTTCTTTGGTGTTTTCAATTGACATACCTACCTCTACTAGCCACCAAGTGGTGACATAGACCATACGAACTAGAAGATTTAACCATGAGATAGTCATGATCAGTATATAGGTAGGTACGCAATCAATCAAAACTTGACATGTTCTCGGAGTGCTACATGATATAGAAGCACTCTGAGTCACTGAAACATGCATCATGTTTCTCTGATGGCTGGCAGGCCAATGGTCATTCCAACCAGTCATGGTTGAGGTATAGATGACTAGAGACGTAAATTGCAAGAGTATCAGCGTGACGGTACCTTGGAGTCATGGAAAACTAGCAAACGCAGCAAAGGTTCTCAACTACAACTGTCTTAATACAAGCTTTGGAACAATTCCTAGATCAGTATCTATGTTCACTTCTCTCCCTCACCCCTATTTCTAGAGGTACATCTAAGGTGCTGGTCAATATCTGCATGTGATCCTAGGTCTTGTATAAGGTACCTCCACCGATGATAGAGGTACCTTAGTTTTGGGCTATTATTTTCTCATTCCTGATCCATCACTGCACTTGATTTGGAAACTTTTATATACGATCTTTGTTACAAGCCACGTACGGCCCTAGGCCTGACCTTCCCGTCTTAACCTTTGCGGGACCGTGCCTGAGCCTCACCCTTCTCTGGTTGTTTGCTTTCTAGAAATGGGTAGGCAGACGTCCCTCCGTCGCGCCGTAGATTTCAGTCACGTCGCGTCTAGCCAAGGTAGAGGTAAGCTGCCCTATAGGTATAGGTAACTCCATCCCCGTGCACAACCCTCTCCTCTTTCTTTTCCTTTTCTCACACAACTACCTCTACAGAAACTCTTCTGTCTCTCCACCCCGCGACACGTCTCACGGTTACCTCTCTAAGCAGAACCAACGTAAGTATTCCTCCTCTGTCCAACAATCAGTCTAGAAGTACATGTCTCGCTAATACTTCCTTACTTTCATTCATCAGTTCATCACCATCTTCCTTGTTCCCGGGCGCTAACCCCGCATTCTCAACGTCACAACCTGAATAGAAGCTATCAACGTAAGTTCTTCGTCTCCGTCCAAGCAACAGTCCATACATCGTGCCGCTAACATCTTCTTTCCTTCTCTCATTAGATCCCCACCAACTTTCATCTCCATTCAAAGGTTACCGTCAACCTCACATCCTCCTCAACTCCCACGTAAGCTACCATATTCCGCTATCAATCAGTCAATAATCTCCACATCCCACTGACACTTTATCTCTGTTTCTCATCAGATCCTCCACATCTTCCATCCCCATTTCAAGGTAACTATCCCGCCACCCACAATTCCCTCAACCTCACCTCCTTCTCACTAACATACCTCATCCCGCCAGATGTCTGCCGCAACTAGGAACCAACAAGACTCCTACGAAGCAATCAAGGAGCGCATCAAGTTCAACATGCTCTCCATCGTGCTCGAGGACATCCTTGTCGTGGCCCCCGAGCACGTCAACACCCCAGACAAGGTTTCCCGAGCCTATCACACGGCAAGGGAAGAAGCGGTGCACGGCTACTACGAGCATCTCTGCCTTGGCAACCACCAGCCCGAGGTCCTGGTAGAGGCCGCTGTCGAGTGGGCGACTGCGATACAGTTGTGGATGAAGTTTGTGGGAAGGGATGTCGAGATGTGTCCTGCGCTTGTTTTCAGAGCGGAGTGTGAGGAGCATTTGACGAGACCGTCGGAAGCTTGGTTGCAGTACGTGGCGGGAAGGAGGGAATAGGATGGGATGGACGGGGGTGAGGGAGAGGAGGATGAGATGAGGTGGGAGTGGATGTCTGTGTGGTTTTCAGTTGGCGAACTCAGGGCTTCTCTTGAAGGTTTATACGTACGTGGCTGGATACGAGCGAAAGGAAGGAATATTTGGTGCAAATCTCAGGGGGAGAAGGTGGAATTAGGTCGTGCGTGTGGTTATACCCGGAGGAAACGAGCTTCGGCATTAAGAATGGAAAGAACTTCAAGTTTTTATGGAAGGCTTTGACTAAAGCCATTCCTACCCGTATCCTCAACTTTCCGCTTGCAATGCGATGGCACCATCTTTGAAGCAACAGCAATTTTGTGTAGGTAGTCCACCCATGACGGCAGCGTATTCGAGGACAGATCAACAGAAGGAGTCTGCGAGCAAATACACGTCGTGAACGTAGATCATTCATGGAAGTATGTACCACTACTAAGTGTACATCCATCAGTGCACTATCAAGAACAGCTTGTCATCTGCATTGATGAAGGAAGTGTGAATGAAAGAGCTGCTACTGATCGGTGATCCTGTCACGCTCAACGATTATCGCAACCTTCCAGACAAGTCATTAGATACCTACCTATCTTTGGCCACTCTAGGTACCTTTCTCGATCGATTTCCTGCTCCTCTGTTCAGTCCTTCTTCCTCGTCTC